CGCATGTACTTCGTAGTATAATGTTTATGTATAATAAGCTTTACTTTTATGAACATATAAAATGAACATTATGAACATACTGTAGATCGAGTAAATAAAAATACATTTGATGTATATTTAATTTATATTAGTGATTTTGGACATTAAGGTTTACTTTTATTGACACAGAACAAGCATTATGGACATCAGTATAAAATGGATGTTATTAAATATAATGCAGTAATTGACGCTTAATATAAAACAATTCAACATCATTTTAAACCATTATCCATCATGCAAGATAAACTTTGATCCATGATATAGCCATTCATTTAAAAATATAATTTTGACTCAAAATGCAATATTTATATCATTCTTTTTAAACTTCACTCTTATGACCAACTGAGCTGCCCATGCGGACTGCAATAGTTATATCATGGAGAGATGCATGCATGCTATTATGTTATCAAGACATACATTCCTACTTTCTCTCTCTCTCTCTCTTTTTTTTTTTTTACTTAAATATATATATTTCTCTCTCTCTCTCTCTCTCTTTTTACAAATAAAATTAATATATAAAAAGTATATTAGTAAGAATTCTAATTGAGATCTTTTAATTAAAAACACACACACATATGTATAGATACATAAAATAAATCTATAAGTATATAAAGTCATTAGTGTAATGTTTATGAATATTGATTTTGTTTTAATTTTTTAAACATATAGAAAAAACATTATGAATATATTATAGAGTGAATGAAAATAGCTATGATATACTTGTAATTTAATGTTTATATATATTAAGATTTATATTTATGATCATATGTAACAAATTAATATTACAAACACAATACATGATGAATGATATTAAATATGATACACATATAACATAATGTTTATGTACCTACTATGAATAGAAATATATATGATGCACATGCAATTTAGTATCCCGTATTTATGTACATAAAGTTTTATGTGTATGAACATATAGAATAAATATTATGAACATAATACATGATAATATTATTAAATGTTATGCACTGTTTGACACTTAATATAATATGATAACATATTTTACAATCAATTATGCAAGGTGGACCATCATACACGATATAATTTGTGGTCAAAATGAAAAAAAAATAAAATAAAATAAAATAAATAAAGAAAAGCTCATATCCGGTAGTACGTAGATGTTATGGGCTAAAGAGCCCGACCCATTATCTAGTGAATTCAAATCCGTGCAAAACGGCCCAATCTCACTTTTATGGCAAATTATGCCCTGGACCCGTGTCCACAATTGTGGACACGGGGCCAAAACGACGTCGTTTTTCAAAAAAAAAAAAAAAAACGCGTCATTTAGTTAAAATATATATATATATATATATATATATATATATATATATATATATATATATATTTGCGTGCGTTTTGCCGGTAACGGCGTTATTTTTTTTATTATGAATGTACAGTTATGCAATTATGAAATTATGAACACAGAGCTCTAACATTATGAATTTACAATTATAAACATATAGTGATAAAATTATGACCATGGAGCTTTAAAATTGTGAATATAGAGCTTCGAAGATTATGAATGTACAGTTATGGAGTTATGAATCTACAGTTATGAGATTATGAATCTACAGTGATAAAATTATGACCATGGAGCTTTAAAATTGTGAATATAGAGCTTCGAAGATTATGAATGTACAGTTATGAAGTTATGAATCTACAGTTATGAGATTATGAATCTACAGTTATGGAATTATGAATGTACAGTTATTGATCGAATTATGAACAAAGAGCTCTGACATTATGAACTTACAATTATGAACATATAGTGATAAAATTATGAACATAGAGTTCTAAAATTGTGAACATAGAGCTTCGAAAATTATGAACGTACAATTATGGAGTTATAAATGTACAGTTATGGAGTTATGAATGTACAGTTATGGAGTTATGAATGTACAGTTATAGAGTTATGAACATACAGTTATGGAGTTATGAATGTACAGTTATTAACATATAGTAATAAAATTATGAACATATACTCCTATAACGAAGCGGTCTGAAATTTTTTTTTTTTTAAAAAAAAGAAAAAAAAAGGATATAACATTGCCTAACGGCACTGTTACCCGTGTCCAGCATGCATGCTGGATAAGGGTCCAACGCATAATTTTTTTTTTTTTTTTTTTTTTGAATGTTACTGGCCCTATTACATTGTAGTATCTGTTCATATACTTTCTCAACCTACTGAAACACAAAGAACCAATAACGCCTCCACTGATAATGATTGCACTTTTATTATATTTTATTTTAATTATACAGTTTCACTTATAGTATATTACATATTCATCTTTTTGTACTATAAGTTCATTTTTAATAGGTTTATTACGTTTTGTATATGTTCATTTTAATGTATTATCTAAAAATGAATCTATGATACTTTTTTCTTGTGACAAAAAGTAGAATCGCTCATCCCAAACGTCATCACACCTTGGCCTAACAGTTTGTGGAGAAGTGAATCATGATTAGTCAACTAATCAACAAAGGCTATATTTTTGCTCAGTACAGTGCATATAAGGTGTCTCTTCATTTTGAGAGATTACTCCCACACTATCGTTAATGAGATTCAATCCATGGTTTTTTGTGACAAATTTCAACCTCTAGGATGAACTGCAATGCGGGCCATAATACCTTTTTCTATTGCTATCAATAATAATCATTATAAGCACATATAGTTGTCCATGGAACCTATAGTGATTAGTCTTTGTTTAGTTTTTTTCTTTTTTTTCATTTTTTTCTTTTTTTTTAAGTACAGACTTTGTTTAGTTCTTTTTCTTAAAAGTTACTTCCTCTGTCCAAAAAATGTTAACCCGTTTGATTTAACACATAAATTTAGGAAACTATATTTAACATATTGACTAGATCATATATTGCCAAAATGCAAATGACAAAAAAAAAAAAAAAAAAAAAAAAAAAAAAAACCTTCAAGACGTTGGGAGGTGGAGTGAGAAATAAAATGAGATGAGAAAGAGATATGTGAGTGGTAGCTAGAGGATATTATTTTTATAAAATGATTGTAAGTAGAAAAAAGTTAGAGTAAATACCACCAAAGGTCCTCCGACTTTTGTGGCACTGCCACTTTTAGTCCTCAATTTTTAAATTAATCACTTTTAGTCCTTTTACTTTTTGTTTCTAGCCATCTATGGTCCTTCTGATATATTTGGTCATCTAATGTCATTTTCTCAAGGGTAATTCGGTCCTTTCATAATTAATTTATTAATTATTATATTTAATGTCCTCATTAGAATAGTCAAACAATGATTTCTCCATGAACGTGTGCAAAACCAGCTCGTGAATCCATATATGCATTCATAGTTCGTCGCCGCTTTCATTGGGGAAACCATTGTTTGATTATTCTGATGAGGAAATTAAACATAATAATTAATAAATTAATTATGAAAGGACCAAATTACCCTTGAGAAAACGGTATTAGATGGCCAAGTTTAACAGAAGGACCATAGATGGTTAGAAACAAAAAGTAAGAGGACTAAAAGTGGTTGATTTAAAAGTTGAGGACTAAAAGTAGCAGTGCCACCAAAGTCGGAGGACCTCTGCTGGTATTTACTCAAAAAAGTTAAAAGGTAAAAGTTTATTTTAAAACATTATAAAAAAAAGTAATGTTTCAAAATAAAATCATATTTAAAACTCTATTTTAATAACTAAACATATAGTTAATAGTTTCTTTGTTCGTTAAACTTTGCTATAAGTTTTAAAATAAAATATTTTGAGAACTCATACAATTAATGTAGCACATATCCAAATACAGTTATTTTATACTGTTTATTAAAAAAAATTATGAAGAATCATTTATAAGGTAGAACCATAGAAGTGTTATGTTGTGTTGTTTTCTTTGTGATGCAAAAAAGACCGAAAGAAGTTGCATGTCACACTCTCACCACGCCAGTGGATTCACCTTTCTTCTTCTTCTTGGGTGACAAGAGCTACCTGCAATTGCTATAACTGATTATATACACTGAGTAAATCTCGATCACAAGGAAATAAATCAACTTAGATTATTTATAATCTACCGATTCAAATTAAAAAAAAAAAAAGTCAATAAATCATTTTGACTTTTGTCAAATTTATAATATTATGATTACTAAATCAACAATTTAATCAACACGTTTACATTTCTCAATCACCAATCTTTAAGCCATATATCTTGTGGTCTGATGACATTACTCTTACTATTTCGAATGAAAATTCATGGGTTTGAGTATCGTTCCAATTAAGGGTGTTGATATAATCATGTTGAACAGATAATTTAAGTTAGGTTCTAGTCAAAGGCTTTGTGATCGAGCGACATAACTGTGGCTCCTCGGCCCTCATATGAGATGAATACTACATTCTAGTAGAGTCAATAGTATTAAAAAAAAACTTGTAGAAAAAAGAAATGTTTAAAAAGTAAAATGACAATCCTCAAAACCAATCTATTTGTGTGGAGTGTAAGTGACGATCAAGCTTCTGGAAGCGTTGGCACGTGGGCAGGTGCTATGCATGATTGGACCACTCATAAATCCACTGAATGGATATACAAGCGCTACACCACAGATAAGCCGTCACTGCCACTCTTTCACTCCCACTCCTCTCATTTTTTTCACAATTAAACTTCACTCCTCTCATAAATTACTGTGTAATTATGTTATCAATTAAAAAAAAAAAACTTGTAATTAAATTGAATATATTCATAATTTTAAATACAAAGTTAGAGATTTGATCCTTCACCCATTAAATTTTTAAAAAAAAAACAAAAAAAAAAAAAAAAATCTTCACCCATACATTACCAAAAAAAAATAAAAAGTTTGGGGGTATAAATGTAGGACTTTAAACATTAGGGGTCCATGTACTATTCCCAAAAACCTTTGGTGTCCAAGTGAAATTAGCTAGCAGATGTTCATTGTTAATGGGCCCATTGTTCATTTCTCTTTCTCTCTCTCTCTCTCTATACTGCCACGGCAGCATAAACTATTTCCAGCGGCTCAACACCGTGGTAAAGCTCCGGCGCCCATAGAACCCTTTCACCTTTAAAACACCGTCCATGGCTTCTTTCTCTTTCCATCTCAATTCTCAATCATTCCTCTAATCATTCATATTCTCTTCTTCTTCTCCTCCTCCTTCAATTTTCAAATGCTCCACACGCTAAACCTTTCTGCTTCTGTTTCCTCCGGAGCCGTTAGATCAAGCCGGAAAATGCAACTCGAGGGAGCGAAGCTACGGAGACCGGTGATTTCCTCGGCCATGGCCGAGGCGGCACCGGCGGTGGAGATGAGAGGGCCGGGGAGCCTCTACGAGGTTCTAAGAGTGAAGCAGAACGCGTCGCCGAGGGAGATCAAAGCGGCCTATCGAACGTTAGCGAAGATTTATCACCCCGATGCCGCCGCTCGCTTCGAAGAGGAGTCGTCGTCGGACGGACACCTTTTCATGGAGATACAAAACGCATACGCCACGCTCTCCGATCCGGAGTCGCGTGCGTTATACGACCTGAAGTTGAGAGTGGGCAGCCGGGGGCGGAACGGGTTGAGCGGTTATAGCGCCGGGTCTTGTATGACCCGGAGATGGGAGAGCGATCAGTGTTGGTAGTTTCCGGTTTTCGTGGGGGGTCCCACATTTTTGGCCGCGTTTGGGATTTTCATTTGTGCTCGCTCGTGTAAATTCTACAGCTCTACTTCTTCATTTTAATTTTTTTTTTTTAAATATTCTTTTTCGAATATCACATTCTTCCTTTTTGGCGAAATGAGTAAATATTGAGCCCAATTTTTTAATTTTTAATTTTTTAAAAGAAAGTTGATGTGTGTGGATTGCTAATTTATTTATTATTTACCGACGCTAAACTTTTCAAATTTTTTTCAAGTATATTGTTTGATTTTCAGCTGATCGGATTGCACCAAGCAATCAGATCGTAAGTTGATTTTACTAAACACCAATTTTAGTTGTTTGACTAAGTCATATAGCTAAAGTTATTCAAATTGACTAGCCTAGCCATTTACCAAATAGGGTCAATGTATTGTTACATATCTAAATTGCAAAGTTCACACGCTCAATATGTAACACCATACACTAACAGGGCGTTTGGTTGGAAATAAGGAATTAGGGTGGAAAGAAATTGCAATTCGGTAGGAAAAAAATAAAGTGGAAATAAAGCAAGAATTCAAATTACATTGTTTGATAGGGATGAATAGAATTATTGGGTAGGGAATGAAAAAAATAATATAAAGACTAAAATGTTCTTGTGTAATAATAATAGTAGTAATAATTAAGGGTACTTTTGTCATTTCATCTCTTTTTTCTTTTCCTACAACCACCGAATTGCAATTCATAGAGGGTGCCCATAAATTGCAATTCATAAGGGGTACCCATGAATTACAATTCCCTCCAACCAAAAGGCGTAATTGTGGCTTCCACAAATTGCACTTTAACAACAGCAAAATTACACCCAGACCATAAATATTGTGCATGTAAATGTTACTCCGTATAGTGACAATACATTTACACGATTTAAGAAATTGAAAAGACTACACGGTAAAAAAAAAAAAAAATGAAATTACTTTCTGGCGAAGGGAAAAAACAAGTCAAGAAGAGATGATTATAAGAAAAGAAAATGAGCAAAGGTAAATTTTTTTTGGAAAAGTTGTCTAAGGTAACTTTCAACTGCTATAGTAATTTAACAGATACTGTGCTACTTCCGTTTTCTACTGAGATTAAGAATGAATGATTGTTCCAAATTCATATCAATGTCTACAATGTAAATTATATCCCTAAAATGTATGTAATAAAAATAAAATACTTGGTAAAAAAAAACACTTCATTCAGTACAAATTGAAGAAGAATAGAATGTCCCAGTTCAAAAAGGAATATGTATATCCAAAATGAACTAAACCTCCAACTGGAATATCCACAGATTCCACACAAGCTGTTACACATTTCACCTCAAAATATCAAAAAGGAAGGAAGGGACAAAGGGGACAGATAAACTCCAACAGTGTCAGAGAGACCAGACAGAGTTACCTCTATATGAATATCCCTAGAATATGTACATGCTTCTGTATTCACCAGATTTTGAACATTCTTGGGCTTAAAAATCATTTACTGGTCATCAGCATAGAGTTTATAACATGCATAATCAGCCGAATGTTGGATAGTTCAGGTGCAGCGGTTGTGGGAAGACCACGGTGATGGTTCACGATCTGATATACTTGCTCAAAGATAGGGCGTACATGCATTGCAATCATTGGGTCAGTTGGATTTATGGCCGTTAGCACATCTCTCATCCATGATAGTTTCTTGCTTGTTTCATTGCTAATGTCACATGCCAACTGCTGAAGAAGTGAGAGGAGTACTCCTTGACTCAAAGGGAGAGGATTCGTTGACAAAATTCCAGGCAGGTCAACCTGAGAGTGACCAATAAAGAAACAAACAAAAAACTATTTTCTTAGATGCCATCACAATCTCACATTCACTTTGAACACACTGGGATGTATGCAAGGTTTTATAATTGGCTTACGCAAGAGTCTCTGGGATAAGATCTGTACATCACAATCAATATTAACAACTACAAAACAGTACAGAATACCTGAGAGCATAGCCATGATACAATAGACACATCGCTTCTTTGCAAGGCTGCAGTGAAGGCCTCCTCATACTTTCTCTCTGCTAACAGTCTAGATAACTCTTTGGTTGGATCAGGGGGTGCCTCAAACTGTTACACATACCAAAGGAACAAGTTTGCTTAGCATGGACAAAAGAACTCATATTCAAGGGTATACAGTATTTTGAACACAATAAAAAAATACTTATCAAAAGGAAAAAAAATAACCTTCTCAATTTGGTGCATGGGCCCATTACTTAATTGGCTAACAATTGGATTTGTAGCTTTGGAACTCGCTAAAGCAAGCAGCTTTCTTTGACCTTCAGCAAACTCACCACTAAGGGTTTGAGTCATTGATGATGCTGAATTTATTGCATCCTGAAATTAAGGTTAATTAATCTAAATATCATAGAGACTAGAGAGAACCTGTAGGAGATTCATGTGATATGTTAATAATGTTTTTTAATCAGTAAATTGTATGGCTTTTATTAAAGGTATATTGACAGGTCAAAGTTTTTACATTCATTCAGTGGATAATGATGGTAAGCTCAACAGCAAATCTTAGTCTCCAAAATAGACGAACAAAATAAAAACAAAATCAATCAAAATATGCAAGAAAGTATTTGCATCACTGCTGGGACAAAAAAAATACCCGTAAAGCAAGTGCCAAAGGCGAATGCAGTGACTCAAATTGCTGTTGAGCAGCAGTAGTGTGTTCAGCCATTCCTTTTTGAAAGGTAGCATCAACCTGCTCAAACATTGCCTTGCATGACATGTCAAAGGCAGGGATTACTGAAGCTTCAAGAGTGGATTTCAATGTTTCCTGCATAACAAGTTTAATACAATTAAATTAGATGTACTTGAGGAAAAGAAAATAACTTTGTTTTGGTCAAGGTCTCAAGGAGCATTGATAAGGTTCACAAAAATTGAAGTTAGTAACACTATAACCCAAAGAATTGTCATGCATTTTTCCCAACCACCAAAGTGCAATTAATTATTCTTTTCAATCTTTTGATAGGTAAAGGTTCATTAAAGCATCAAGGATAATTAATTATCTTAGTGGATAAATATTCCCAAATCAAAGTGAGCATTTATAAAGCACCCAAAAACAACTATGAGAAAAAAGTACAATGCCAACATTTTCATCCATTTTAAATGGTAATTTCAATATTTTATAACCTTTGAAAACCACCAATGCAAATGTGGCTTAAGGAACACTGAACCAAACTGGCATGATAAATTTATGCTTACCTGAAGAGCTTGTTTGCCAGAAGTTTGAAATTGTGCTTGTATTTGCCTGGCGACGGTGGCTTCAAGTTTAGAATTGATTGTTTTCTCCAATTGACTCACTGTCTTATCACCAACACCCTTCTGCATCACAGAGAATCAATTAAAACCTGATATATACATTTAAGGATGGAAAAATTTTCACGATACCCACCTGAAAGGCTTCAGAGATAGCTGAGGATACTGCTTTCTCTATAATGGGTGTTACAGTCCGTGCAACAATTTGACCAATGGCACTTAATTCCTTCTTCACTATTTTTTCTACAAGCCCCGGCAGGTCCTTGTTTAAGCAGTTGGAGATCATATTAGTCATCTGTTGAGTACGGTCACGTAATAGCTTTTCCTGCTTTGCACTTTCTTCTTGAAGACGAACCCATAAAGCATCAGCATTGGACTTGGCAGCTTTCTCCATGCAGCGTCCCAAGGCTGCCTCAAGCCTTCTTCCTTCTTTGGTTACTGGAACAGCAACCATCATGCCCATCTGCTTCTGTGTTTCTTTTTGCATGGACATGAGCTACAAGCAAACATATGGTGAGTTAATCATAAAGAGGAAGTGCAGTAAGTGACATGAACCAATACATCTTCAATATGATAGCAAATAACAGTATTGTATTAACAAATAATAATAATTATTAAAAAAATAATAATAAATAAATAAAACAAGCACCTGATTCAGCATCTCTTGCATAGACAATATCTGTGAAAATGCAGCTTCCATGGAGGAGTTACTCGAGCTGACAACTGCTTCATTAGAGGAATCTGTTGAATTAAAAGCACTAGGTAATGCTGATGGTGGCACAGAACCCTGAGGATTCTTCCCTTTCGGTTTCTTGCCCTTTACACTCTGTTCAGTTTGTTGTTGAACAGGAACAGGGATTTTTGAATCTAATTCCTTTCCAGAGAGATTACTTGTAGAGTCATGCTCCTCCTCTTGATTACTTGATGGTTGGGCCAAATCCTCGCTTCCATTGGTCCCATCAAATTGCCTAGAATCCTCGGCAATATAGGTTTCAGGTGACAAGGCACGACATTCTCGTGCCATTTCCATCCCAAGATCAGATGCTTGAGAGCAAAATGCTTTCTCCTTGTTGTCTGACACAAAAGTGTGAAGTTCTCGAGAACCAATATCATTATTATGATTAAATCTTGATTCACCAACAACCTTAACTTCCACCTCGACATTTCTTGCCTCATTATTGACTAAAACATCCTGTATGTCTTCACTCTTCTGCTCAATAATATGGTTCATTTCAGAAGAAGAGTCCATCAATATCTCAGAAGGAGTAACCAGATGAGTGGGCTGCTTGAACTTGATAGGGTGACTGAGACCTGATGAAGCATCCTCGTGGGAAACTTTGCTTTCATCATTCCTAGCCTCATCATTTAAGGGGCCTACATCAGACAAGTTGGTGTGAATGGAGTCCATTTGCCTGTCTACAGAATACTCAACAACTTTTGGATCTCCACCATGATCATTAATAGAGCTGGGTTCAAAGCTGTTTGATGGGTTTCTGAAGCCAGAAAGTTTACGAGATAATCTAGGACTCAAAGGAAGCGGAGGTGATGAAGTGGGTGCAATATCAGTATCAGTGTTTGAACAAGAAATGGCATCTGGTTTACTTTCCATGCTATAAGTAGCAAATTCTTGTGAAGTGGTTACCTCAGTAGAGGCAGAGCTCACAGGATGTCTCCCAGATGGTGCACTCTCAGAACTAGAATCAGGAATAGGTAATTTTGGAGTAGGGTTAGATATAGGTAATTCTGTTGATTTACTTCCAGAAGATTCCATCTGAGAAAATCCTTCAATATTAGCATCACGTGAAGCACTAGATTCTGACCTCTCAAACATGGCATTCTCCAATGGAGGAGGTAAACACTGTGATAAGTCCAGAGCATACTGCTGAATAGCCTGTGTCTGAACACAATACACCTGAACTATCTGTTCACCATTTGGCAGTAGGTCACTCGTCCCAGTGAAACTAAGTATTGGCATAGTAACAGTAAATTCGGCTATGTAATCCATCCTTGTTGCGGCCGGGTTAGGACCATATTCTAGGTGCACTGCATATATGGCGTTCTTTTTGGCATTTGCCAATAAGAGTAAACCAGCTTGAGACAAGGCCACAACTTGATTAAAAAATCCCTCCCCAACTCGAGTTTCAGCTGAACCCTTCAGCTCTAATGTCTGTGTACAATGCCATGATTCAGCATCAGTTGGAAGCAACCAGCCTTCTTCACTTGCTGATGACCATATCTTCACTTCTCGATTAAGTGGGCCCTGTGAACATCTTCAATTAATTATTTGCAGAACAGAGCAGAAGAGCAAGTTTGAGTGATCACTTATCATCTAAAGAATCAAAATAACATCACTAGCTTACTGTTTAAGGAAATATTTTACATTAGACCATTTGTTGAAAAAAAAAAAAAAAAAAAAAAGAATCGTTTAATACTTCAAAGTAGATATGAATAGTAATTGTTTTAAGGAAAATTAAGCACATACCCCAGTAATTAGTATGATGTGGTCAGGGTGGTTTGGAGCAGCCAAAAATGTAACAGAATTTACAGGTTGGCCATCATGTGGCCGCAGTACAGCAATTGGAGTTGATTTGCGATCCTCCCAAACCTTTATCTGTTTAAAAGACAAAATCCACATATGCATAAATAACAAGGGCTTATTACTTGGTTCCCATAAACTATAACACGCCACTGGCAACTATAAATCTCTACACCCATTAAGAAACGAAATGAACACCAAGTGAAAAAGAAAAAGAGATATTAAGTGAAGAAACTCAAGAAAGAGAACCAAGTGCTAGAAAAGTTTTTCAATAAACCAAGTCAACTAACGTTGCGAAGTCACAGCCATGAAAAGTAGGAATTAACCAACCGTGCCATCTACTGAAGCAGATACAAGACGAGTGATCATCCACTGAGACATCGATAAATCAGTCACTTCTCCATCGTGAGTACCAACAAGCTGGACACCTTCAACCAAGCGGTCAACTGGACACCTCAGGGGTTCTTCTGCTGAAAATACTTCACCTTTTCCAACTTTAGTGGTATCAATTTTCAGAACTCTTTTTCCAATCCCAACAACAAGAATTTCCTGTGTCAAGGAGCACCATAACGCTTAAGACAGCTTAGAAAATGAGAAAGCCACAAATCAAACTATAGAATAATGCCAAAAAGTTATAAAGATCAGATTCTCAGAACATACTTGCTTGTGGCAATGCCAACAGACTCGTGGGTGAAAAGATTCTCCTTCTCCCACAATTTGAATAGCAATGACTATCCGGCCTATTATTTGTGGCTTGTCGTCCTCATCTTGTCCTTCAGTGATTTTCCATACATAAATCCGTCCATCAACACTTGCACTGTCAAATAAGCACATAAGCAAAATAAATAAAATACATAGAGAATGCAATACTGTGAGCAACATCAAACAGGAGTACCTAGCCAAAAGGTGAACATCCTCTGCAAAGAAAGCCATGTCTGTAACCCTCTGAAAGAAGATATAAGTTGAGGTAAATAAAAGAACCTGATTTTATTTAGCCAAAATTAAAAGACTAGAAATGTTCTATTCTGTTTCATGCAACACTACCATTCAATGATGAACAGCTAATTAACCTATTCAAATTAACCTATTCAGCTACTTTAATTTCTTTTTCATTATGAGCAAGTGTGAAGCAAACTTAGGGATATTCTATGGTTGAAGTAGAAGCAAGAAGTTAGAAGTATGCATGCATTCCAGAGATGCAATTTGTTATATGAGATAGAACAAAATCTAAGGATGCACAACCTGAGAAAGACCTTTAAGCAATGATCTCAAAGCAGTATTGATGTTAAGGACCCGTATATTGCCCATCTTAAGTCCATAACATATGTATGTCTTGTTAACTGCAATTTGCCGGCCAAGAACGAGCCCAGGGTCCGAACCATACTTTGTAATGGGAGTAACCTCGAGTTGGGGCTGCACCTCACCAGGCAATCTAACATCGATATCATATAGAATGTGATCGCCAATCAAATGCCGGCCTTTAGGCAACTTACTGCTCGGCATTCGCATAGGTCCTGAACCCGCATGTATGATACCAATACCTGGAACTGAGGGCATCAAAGGAACACTGGTCGGCACTGAAAACTCTGAAAGATCGGACCCAGAAGTGGTAGGCTGAATGGCGGGCACTGGCATGGAGGGCTGTTGGATTTCGTGAGCGGAAGGCGGCGGCGCACTCAAGAGCGCCATGAGCCGAGCACCTGGATTGGGGCTAGTATTCGGGTTCTGGTACTGGTGAGGACTGGCGGGCGGGGGTTGGAGAGGCGGAGTAGGGAAAGACATGGATCTCTGCTGGTGCAAGTTGGCGAACTGGGCGTCCCCTTGCGGAGGCGGGCCGCTGTACTGAGGGATGTGGAGGTGGAACTGCGGGTGGTGGTGAAATGGCGAGGTCTGAGGCGCGAACGAGTAAGGAACGCCGCCTCCGCCTCCGTTCGGCGGGGGATAAGAAGCAGACGGTGGAGGAAACGGCGAAGAAATCATCAAATTAGGGTTATTGGGGTTTTGGGGATTGGGATTCCCCGAAGCTGACCCAGGTGGCGTCGGCGATGGCGGTGAGGGTTTGAAGTACTTGTGCATATCGAATGGGCCTCCACCTGGCTGGTTAGGATTTCCAGCTGAAGCCATTGATTCTGAGAGAGATCGGATCGAATAAACTGTATATATCTATATCTATCTATCTTCTATTGTATTGTATCTATATCTATACATATAGATACGATACAGAACGTATATACGGAGAGAGAAATGGAGAGATCGAGTAGTGTTTGTGTAGACTGAGTTTTGGGGTGACTTTTTAGAGAGAGCTATGCCTAATAGTATGATGATGATGATGACGACGACGATGACCAACTAGGAGGAGATGAATGATGGAGAATATTATTATTTATGTGAATTTATGAATGGAAGTGCTTCAATTTTTTAGATATGCTTATTTTTCTCCCTTTTATTTCCAAAATTTGTAACTTAATCCTCTTCAAAGGAGGAAATTTTGTCATTCATCCTCAATGAATTTTTTACTTTTTAGGTCCAATCATCAATGCAAGTGAGTTATAGAGTGAGGGTGGTAATGAAACTTGAGTTTTGGGTTAATGTAATCCATGGATAAGTTTTGATTGTAATGTTGAAATAGTAATAAAGGTAAACGAATCTTAGAGACGTTTAAAATGCGCGAGTATATATAGTTGTTATTAAATTGTAGAGTTTCAATCATAATAAACTCACACATTTATAAGTTAGGGATTGTTGTGGCACCAACTCTTTCCATTATTCGAGTGAGTCTATCAAGTTAATCTTGCACAAATAATCGTTCGTCATGCATCCATTCACAATACTTATGTATTTGTTTATTTTGCAAGTTTGCCCAAGGTAAATCTCGTGATTCAATTCAAAGACAAGTTAGAAAATCGTTGCTAGATTTGACCTATGACAAGTTTGGCCTCTATAACTTCGCTAAAAACCCTTTTGATGTAGATAATTCACCTGTGTAGTTTATGTGTACTCTATTGTGTATAGAACATGCATGAACATGTATGAAAATGTAGAGAGAAGATGGAGTATATGAACAAGGAACCAGAGATGTAAGAAAGCAAGGTTCTTTTATTAATGTGTGTTCTTGCAACTCTAGAGAGAGTAGAGAGAATAGTGTATAGAGAGAGAGAGAGAGTGGAGAGGAAAAGCCCTTAACAATGAGGGCTAAGGCCTTATTAGTAGGCCCATGGGTTGACGAGTTTGACTTTGACCCGTTGACCCGAACCGTTTGACCCCAACCCAAATAGGAGCACGGAGCGTATGGAGAGCCTGAACCCGGGGTATATTCCACATCACCTTTCATAGAGTAATTTGGTAAGTTTAAAGTAGCGCAGTCGAAACGGGCCGACAGGTGAGGCTCACCATAGCCCGCCATATGGAGGGGGGGACGGGCTAAAAAGCCCGCCAAATACAGGCCTAAGGGAGGCCAGCTCGGCCCGCCTTAAGCACGCAGGCCTTGGTAGGGGCCCGTCAAATTTAAAAAATTTTAAACTTAAATAAAAAATTAATATAAAAAATGTAATAAATATATACTAAAATAATTCGGATAGTTTAAATATATATTAATCATTTGCAATTTTGTAAACACAATAATAACTAATAAATAATTAAATACATAATGTCCTAATCTATAAGTCAATAACAAATCATTTATACAATGTACTGATTTTTTTGAACTTAATTATATATATTGAATTTTGGTTTACAGTTTACAGGTAACTGTAAATCAAAATTCAAAATTATATATATATATATATATATATATATATATATATATAGTAATGTTAATAATATAATTAAGCTGACAAGACATATTTAATGTTATAAATTTACAATTGTAGCATTTGTTTATTTAAATAATTTTTTAATTATACATTGGCGGGCCCTGCCGCCCTGTCTCGCCAAAGCTCACGGGTTAGGTGGGGGCGGATTAAAAAGTCCGTCAAAATACAAGCCCAAAATATCAAAGCTCGTCCTACCCTTTTCGCGGGGCAGGACGGGCTAAGCCCGTTTTGATGGCTCTAGTTTAAAGGTCCTCTTTATGGTATCAGACAGTTTCCTCATGCTTGATTTGGTAAGTTCAGTACAGTGATTTTAGATATTTAGTCTGATTCGAAACAAGTGGATTACTCTATCTTTAATAGGCATATTTTAAATATAAGTATCTATCTCATTATATATGTCGATTATATTGTTATCATATGTGATAGATATATACCCAATGTTGCAAAAATCGCGACGCTAGGCGGCGGCCAACCGTCTAGAAATTTGGAGGAATCGTCATTCTAGATGGTTGGTCGTCTAGGTGCACTAGGTGCTGAGTAGGTCGTCGTGGACTAGGCAGGAGTTTAACTATTTAAAAAAAAAATTATAAAAAAAAAAATCCGGTGCCTAAAGGGTGCCTAGCGATTTTTTCAACCTTGTATATACTCCAATTAAAGTAACCGGTGTTTTAACATTTTGAAACTAAATGTCTTAATAAATTAAAGTACGTACTTCTTGAAGAGTTGAAGATAAAAGTTACACTAACAAAGAAAGAAATGTCCGTATCATAATGGAAATATGCTACGGATACACTAAAAGAAACAAGTATGCATGATTGTAAACTAATTAATGCACCCATGAATCCCATTTCAATGTTAAACTTCTTCCAACGACAATGAGAGCATCTACCTAATCATGTTATATATTGACTATTAGTGGGTAAATTGATCTACTTGATAATTAGTCATCCTATGTTTCATTTCTACCGAGTATCGCTAGCCAATTCTTAGAATCTCAATGTGAGAGCCATTGAAATGTAGTCACCAAGATCTTGAGATATATTTGTTGGAAAAATAGTAAAAATTAATATTTTAAGTGATCATTTTGAGAAATAATTTTGAGTGGAGTCAAATCTACTTTTAATTTGGGGATCAACTTAGATTTGGATTTTCATGAGATGATGAATTTGATATATTATACATTCAAAATAAATAATGGGTCAATGAAAAATTGAATTTCAAAGTGTACTCATTGAACTAAAAAATGGAGTTTGAAAACTTTTAAGTTGACTTTGTCATACAATAGAAATAGATGTGGGTTTGCACTTGTATAAATACAATCAAACTTGTTAAAGAGTTTGAATTGTATAGCATAGATGTCATGTCTCGAGTAATGCAAATCAAATATCAAAATGAGCTCAAAAAGCTTGAACTCATGTGCACACCAAATGTTCATCCGAAAGCTAAGGTTTTTCACAACTAATTGAGAATATAAAATGCTTATAATCCTTAAAGGTAAACATGTACTTCATGTATCACATTTTACTTATCTTATTTACTATTCATTTGTTAAACTAATTATTTCTTTCTTCATTTATTTTCTTTAGTATTTTTTAATTATGTTTGAATTTAATTTTTTGTGTTTTTAATGTAATTTCTAAATATATAAATTTTATATAATAATACCAAACTTAATATGATGAAAAGTGAATTTTAAAGTAACTTCAGTCAAGCCTGGTTAACTAATAATTAGAGTAAGTTAAAGAATAATAAATAGTTAATGAAATATTTCATTACTAAAGATTACACTGACGGAATGCATAGGTAATTAGAAAAAGTAACTGATATAATAGAGGGTAAAGTAAGAAAAATAATAAAAAATACTAAAATCAAAATAATATGAACCATTCATTTCAACAAACAATTACACCAACATGTTTTTTTTTTTTTAATAGTGGTGAGAGGGAGGGGGATACCCAAGGAACAAACTATTGTTTGTTAAACAAAGTATGAGCTCCATCATTCTCCAGATAGTCTAAGATGCTCTCCGGGGGCTCGAAGAAATCCATCCATTCACATTGATTTTTGATGGCTTCCTTTACACTAATATTTTTTAATTCCCGTTAGAGGTCTAAATTTGGTTGTTATATCAAAATTATCGTCAGAAAGATTATTGGTTATACAAATGTAGACCAGACTAGATTTATTTGGGACAAGAGGTCTACATCAAGGATATTGTGTCCTCATTTTGTGGCAGTTTGATATCTTGGAAGAGCAAAAAGCAAGATATAGTAGAAACTTAATATCATGCAATGACCCTTGAAGCAGGGGAATTGATGCGAGTAAATCATCTCCTTCTGAAACTCCAATTCTGCCAACTTTGTCCTATAAAGTTAGTTTGTGGTAATCAAACAACAATAAACTTTAGATTACCTAGTGTCCATAATGTGATTACAACTTGTGTTTAGATTACCCATAACGTGTTTAGTATTCACAGGATCTATTATTAGTCTTCCAATTCCAATGCCTAGTTTTCTGATCTAATTCTAATTTCAATGTCCTTAGACTTTCAGCCTCCACATAGATACCTATACATTTGTGTAAAGTCACGGTATAATTTATGCAAATTGATTTTTTTCTTACCATACTCATCATCATTTTAATAAATAGGACAATTTTGAGGGATGCCAAATGATAAAATACGCTATATACCCTTACAAAAATCACTCCCTATTAGTCACCACTTGCCACATTATATTGAAGTTAAAAAAAAAAAAAAAAAAAAAACTGGAGCATCATGTAATTACAAAATGTAGTGATAATGGTAGAGATGAGTAGCAGTTTTCATAAAAATTAGACTAAAAAGAATCTGAATTTATGAAGGAAAAGTACAGATATAATCAATTCAATTAAATGATCAACAAAGCATTAAATACAATTTCCTAAATTTGAATGTTTCTCTCTTACAGTAATTCTTTTTGGTCATAATATGAAAATAAAATATTTTAAAAAAACAATAACAATTATAATAACAATACCACATATCAAGCAAAGTACGATGAAGACGAGGATGTATCAGCCAGAACCTGAAGTGAATTGCGAAGTATTGTTAATTTGTAAGTTCCAAAATCAATCCGTCAATAGCATCAAAGGGAGGGAAAAAAAAAAAAAAAAAAAAAAAGATTTACCTCAAGCTGCTCTTCGCTGAAGGAATCTTTTTGTATATTCCATGTGTCCGCATGAGTTCGCCGGAACTCTGCCACTGCTTTTGTAACAGTAGATTTTACAGGGGATGGTTCCGAGACAAATTGAGCCAGTAGAGTTACATGTCCAGGCAACCAACTGAAAAACAAATGGTTCCATTTAAACCAAACATATCTAAAAATATTTTAAATATAAGGTTTAAAAGTCACTTGAAATTAAACTTGTGTTAATTTTATAACATTAATCTAAAAAAAAAAAATTGAAAAATGGAGTGTTAGTAAACAAGTTTTCTAAATAGAAAATAGAGAATGAAAACTGAAAAATTAAAAAACAGAAAACAGTTACGGGTCCGGATGTTTCTTTTGAACTTTGAAATATGTGGCTACATACAATTTGGACATACCTGGGCATGTCATAAGGGACTGATAACACACAAGCTGCCAGAGCAAGTATCTGACCATGTATGGATGCTACAGACTGTCCTGATGATTTCAGGCTTCTGCAAATAGAGAGTGCAATTTTGGATTAAGATAACATGCAAGATCGCCATCACTTTAGAAATATGAAAGTATGCAGTTCAAAGTTAAGATCTTAACACCATCCCTATCTCTTGGAAGAGAACTAGTCAAAGTGATGCTACACAGACCATTCTAATAAATCATGTTCAGGTAGACACTCTGCCATGGTCCATTTAGCAAAGTTGATTTTATGAGAAAGTGAAAAATATACACTCCAAATTAAAATAAAATTAAAATCTGACCTATGCTTCTTTTTCTTCTGAATGATGTTTGCTTGCTCAAATGCTCTAGAGCGGAAGTCAGTGGCAAGATCTTCATCCCCTCCTTTCATGAGGCCAGCCAAAACTGCTGCGGCATGTTCTCGTACCTGAAATTATCACAGTATTAGATTTCATTGAATTCATCATCTAAAACTTTTGTTTGTTGCATGGTCTGGGTCACCATGGCTCAATGGAAAAACTTGTTTGTTTTAAACATTCACAGAATGCTTTATTTTCAATATGGTTGAGTTTGTGTGGCTCTCTTCTGTTACCAGTTAATAAGAAGAATAGGCTGTATTCCACAAGACACACATCTCCTCTCCCCTTCACCCTTTTATACATCACTGCAGCTACATTACCTAAATGATTCAGGTCTAGCAATTCAATTAATAAGGCATGAACCTATTAACATGAGGTGTTTGATGTATTATTATATCTTTGTAACAAAAGATTCAAAGATATGTTGTAATTAATAACTTGCCTCAACTTGGTTGTCTGTGAGTAACCTCTCAACAGTTCCCCAGATTTTTTGTTTCTCCACCTTAGAGAGGACAAAAGTATGCCTGAAAAGAGACAACAAAGCATGTCAGGAATGTTAAATCTCTATCCCAACATCATACCAAAATAAAATATAGAGTAGTTATGGATCCACTGATCTGGTACATGAAACTACTATACCTGTACATGAAACTTCGCAAAAAGGTTAATGTAGCTGATCTGGTACGCCAATTTGGATCACTCGCTGAAGTAAGAATGGCAGATACAGCCTTCTGTAGATGGGATTCCAAGATAAGTCTCCATTTCAGCAATTCAAAAGCTGCTTTGGCCAGAGTGGAAAGATCTTTATTTGATGTTTCCTTCAACAAATCAAACACAAAAGTTTAAGTAAAGCCCAAACTCATCAGTATTGGAGCCACACAAAATAAAATGAATAATGCTAACATATTATAGAAATAGACCTATCAATACAGTTCCATCTATCATAATAGTAGAAACAAATTATTTGGATATAATATAACTAAGAGTCTAAGACAGCACATAATCTATAGCTTTAGACTCCTTATTGCAATTTTCCAGATTTTATCTCAAATCGACTTCTTAGCAGCCCAAAAACCTACCCAATGCCAATGAACTGAAATGGGAAAACCAAATAAAAGGGTCCATGGGCATAGATGTCGAAAATATCTAGCAAGTGAAAATAGCAATGATTTAAAAATTGATGAATGCCTAAAATCTCAGAAGCGTCTTGCTACATAGACTTTGAAATGAAGGCATTTCAACAAATAAATATTTCCATTTGAACAAAATGCATCCAAATGAGATCAACCTTTAGCTTAATTTCATCATCTTGAGGCCAAGGAATTATTTAAAAAGGGGTTAAAAAAAAAGTAGTTCAATCTCCTATCATTTTCATCCCTAAATGGATAAAGGGGCATTATATAATCACATAATCAACTATAAAAGCAATCGACAATCCTAAACATTTGCAAATGCCAAAATAAAAAAGAAAGTTGCAATATGATCCAGAACATTGGATCTTACTATCAAGTTCTTTATGGTCTACTGAACTTCAGTAACATAGGAATTATATAAAGTTCCACTTTACATACCTGTAGAGAGATTACAGGATAGAGCAGACCAACAAGAACATCTAGCAAAACTGAAGACCTTCCCGACTTTAAAGAAGAGATGATGAAATGAAATAACTGCACATAAAACAGAAGTAAATATAAAAAGTGGTTGAAAGAAGAAGAAATATTAATCAAACAGTTTTCTTGAATCTATACCGTCTCCATCCATTTAGCATCATCTTTAGATTGGTCATTTGATGTTCCATTTTCAGAAACCTTATCTGTTGAGTTATCAGCAACATCTGAATGGCTAGACTTCTGGATATTCAACACGAGCTCCGAAGCTCGGTCTATTAAATATTGATCCCAACGCCCTGTCTCCAAGTTTTTGTGCAGGTCACTAATTTGTGTCTCATGGGACTGGACTTGATTACACAACTCATTAAGTCTAATGTTTGAGCATAACACTGAAAGAGTTAAGCCAATTGATTCCCTGACCTGTTAAACACACATTAGCAGCAATTTTTAACCACAATATCAAGAAGCATTACACCACAATGTTGTAGAAGAATTAGCAAGAAAACTATGACCACATAAATCCTGCTCTATTTTACCATTTTTTTAAAAAATTGCACTGTTTCAAAGGAAATAAATTTCCTATGGTCCTAGGGCTTTAACAGCACAAGTGGGATTATACAAACACATAAAATGAAAATTAAATGAGTTGAAGACAATAAACAAATGTGTATATATCCCCTCTAAAGACCTAAACTTTTTCGATATAGTGAAGTCATGCAATTCAATATGATATTGAAGCAAGTAGTGTGAATTTCACTGCCACCTGTCCTTATGGTCATCACTGATCTTATCTTATAGGTTCATAAGTCTGTATGAATATATCTCTATTAAAAATAGAAGCTCCTTCCACAAAAGTAACTACAAAATAATAGTGTTTTTTTAATAGGATTAAACATTGAGGAGTAGAGGACTGAATGCAAGCTTAAAGAAGACAGGTCCAGACTGTGTAGTGAAGGAAGTTGCCTCAACAAGTAAGAAATGCAGCACATTTAAGGACATGAATTCAAGATTAAGTTGGATCAGACACTGCCAGAAGTGTAAAGCTTCTTATGAAGGGAGGAAAGATACTGTGCATATGTAAACAAAACTGATGCAACAAGTACAAAACTCGCATTGGGCAGAGTTACACTGAGGACACTGTTTGAACTTCATCAACCGCTTTGCCTCGGTTGTATGTAAACCACCCCTTCACCCCCTAAAGTGGTAAAGAAGGACTCTTTGGGGTCTAATTTTCTTTCTATCCGACAGTAGAAAAAATAGGAAGGGGTGGTTCTTTCATTGCTTTGACTTTGAGAAGAGAACCATTGGTTTAACCGACAAACTACGTGGGAAATATGAGTTGAGAGGTGCATGATATTATAATTTTCTTAGTAGCATGTGGCCAAGAGCAAAGTGGGAATAAATAATATATATATATATATATATATATATATATATATATATATATATATATATATATGAGGAAACAGAACATGAAGAATAATTATATAGTTCACAACAAAATGCATTGTCTGATTCAAGCCAGGAAAAGAATAAAAGATAATGTGCTTAGATTCCAGATTTTAGCCTATATATGACAGGTAGAATACTTACTTGTGGAGAGGAATGACTCATATTCCCAATCAACTCTTTAAGAAGCTTATTATGAAGCTCTATTTCAGCTACTGGCATTCTAGGCGGGGATAATTCTATTAGCGCAGCTGAAAGAAAAGTATAGCGCTTGGTAATAACAGTAGTACTAACTGCTTCAGGAATAGGGTTCATTAGACAGTCCAAGACTTTCTGCCTTAAAAGAGGAACCTTTGTTCCATATTTTCCCTTTCCAGTAACTGTATAACGAATACAAGCTGCCCACTCTGGTATAGATTCCACAGAAGGTGAATGAATAATATTCTGCAGATGGACCATCAACCAACTATCCCATGCTTCTGAAACACCATAGACATCAGAATGCAGCACACCAGCCAATGCTTCAGCAGCAACACACTGTTTAGTCCTCTCTGTGGCATTTAAATATTCCTCCAGTGCATTTTTTAGAGCCAGTAACACAGGCATGCCGCATTCTTGCATTAACCGTTTAAAGATTCGAGCGAAGCTTGAGTAAAAGGTATCATTTCCCAATAAAGATATCCAGTTAGGGGTACGGGGCCATGATGAAGAAAATTCAAAATAGAATCGAGTGATGGATTTGTCTGCAAAGCTCTGGAATGAAGAATTTCCATGACCTCCTTTGGAAGATGCACCATCTGTATCAATTATATGAATATGAGAAAGACTGTTTAGAGTCTCATTAAAAAACCCTTCTTCTTGGAAGATACTACTTAATGCTCCTTCAAGAGAAGACTTGGTATTTCTGTGTAAATCAGTAGAGAGAACAGTCCGGTCCTCAGACAGTTTGTAAGGTGATTCCTTTAACAGTGTATTTAGAGCAGATATTGCTAGTATTCTTGTCTGTGGCAGTTGACTCTTCAGATTTTTTAAGAAATGACCTGACAATAGTTGAAACACAGCATGTCACATTCGGGAATCTACAGAAAAATTGTATGTACAAGTGACATGCTACTCAATTTCAGGTAGCAAAGTATGAATTTAATCTTGGCATTTTAACAAATAGCATCAGAACGATTCAAAGACAATAACTGTGGGATCTTTCAGTTAAACTTGAGGCCTAAGCACCCTCTTCACTAACCAGCAGTTTCACTGAGAATTTTAGATGATGAGTTTGGGTCATTCCTAGAAGCCATCGCTAATAGAAGCAAAACTCTGTTAGCCATCAGATTATACCTGAAAGTGGAGAAATCTAGTCAGTATTTTCAAGTCATAAATGCCAGCATAAAATTGATTGAGAAAGCAGAATGAAAGCTTGCTCATGCATCATCTACTTGTTACTCATTCTCCAGGCAGAAATTAGTAAGTTACATACACTAAAATAGCCACAAAATAAAGCATCATTACCGCCAGTGCAAGTTGGTGCTTTCAAAACTCATAGAGCCAATCTCAGAAACCAAGACTGCAAAATCGGTCTCATCTGAATGATTGCTTGATGTTCTGAACATATTTCTAGATACTCCAGCAAAATAAATGTTGTACTTGACAAAAAGCTGTTGTTATTTAAGAATATTTGTCATATGTAACATGAAGAAAATGGATAGAAAAGCAAATATTGAACTGTAGAGGAATACCTCACCTCATTGATTGCTTTCTGAGCTTTTAATGACTCATGATGAGAGCTATAAGGAATAAAACAGTTAGATACTAAAGAATCACAATCTAAATGGATGCAGCATCAAAATAATCTTTACCTTGAAAGAATTCCAAGAAGAAATGAAGAAAGTGCCTTTGTATCCTGGATTGACAGACAACAAATTATGTGTCAGCAAATTCACTTTTAAATCTTAATAGATTTAGTCCAGATGATGAATACCGTTGTCAAACATTTAAGAACAGTTTGTGTTGCAAGGACTGCACAAGAACCTAACACTGCATATTCAGGTGAGCTTGGATTCCTCAAATTTTCACTGAGAGTGAGCACACACTTCGGAATAGTAAATGGCCATCTTTTCATCATCTTCAGAAGAGATTTTCCAGCGATTCTGATGACATATGAAATGTAATATATGAGAAACAGAAAATCTTAACAAAAAGAAGAGAAGTTTTCTTCTTCTTTTTTTCCCTGGGTGGGTAAGGTAGGAGGTCAGTGGAGGGGTAATCCGCATTTAACAACAAAAACAATGTAGAACTACATAATGACAACAATAATTAAAAGAACTACTTATTTAAAAAATGAAAAGAACAAATGCTTATAAAAAAAAATGAAAAAAAAAAAGTACTCCGTAGCATTTATAAGATAATGAAATAGACTAAATGATAAGGAAAATGCATAATATGCAAACAAATTTTTTAGGCATATATGTTCATAGCGAATCTTACGTTTCTCATTACATGGCTACAAAACATACTATTTGAATTATTTTCCATCAATAAATAACAATCATGGACAACAGTACACGTCAAAAGTACAACTTTAGAAATATAAGTAACATCGAGCAATATTATCAAACAGAAATTCTCCTAAGAATGATTCTCCAGGAAAATTCTAAAAGATGAAGACTGCAAAAGAGAGAGAAAAAACAAAACAAAAAAACTATAAATAATGCTTTTAGCTCTGCATGTATATATTATCCACCATAAGGTTTATTCAGTAATATAGACTTACGCACGGACTGTTTCATAGCTATGTAAAGAGAGAGTAAGAAGATCATCCATCAAAAGTATCACACGGTCAGATGGAGACAGATTCGCCTTCATCCGGAAAAGATGATATGACGACTGCGAAGCTCTCCAAGTACTATGCATATATGCTTTGTCAATAAGTGCCCATCTAGATCTGCATAAAGAGTACATCAACCCAAATCCTGTGAGTTTGGCCAATCACTCTGTGTCATACAAAGCTATATGGAAATTTTACCTTCTTTTGCCTTTAGAATGAGATGACACAATGAAATTAACTGGAGGTTCTACAATGGCAGCAGATTCCAGTTTCCAGGCCTGTCGGTGATTTGACCACTCATCATATTCTGAACTCCCTATTTGTTTAGTCAAAGTGGAAAAATGGGAAGAAAAAAAAATATTAATTACAAATGAATAGTAAGGAAAACCATTATAAAGAAGTGCACTTACCATAATTTCCTAAAGAATCCATTATACGAATGAGAAGCAATAACAAAATGCTATCGTCAGACTTTTCCTCCAGTAAGTATCTGGCAAGAGTGGAACAATACTAAGATTTAGCATGCTATAACTAAAAGGAAAAAGGAAATAAATAAATAAATAAAAGGAGGGAAAAGGATAGATAAATACAGGCAAGCTGAATGAATAACATCAGTGGCTTTCTCTCGCAGTTCAGCACTGCCAACACATGAACCTGTTGCTCCAGCAATCAAGAAAGGAATATGACCTAGCTCTTCAACCACCCCATTCTTGCAGGATGGCTTAAAATCGGGTAAACATGACAAAACCCCTTGTAATGAAGAATCAATGCGCAGAAGAGTCACTTTCAAGTGCTCTTTCTCATTTCCTGAGTATCAAGTAGCAAACAAACATCAGAGAAAATGACTTTAAATCTTTAATGTCAAAATGCTATGGAGTACAACTGCACATGGATAGGCTATTGTTACTGAAGGGCTTTATTTCAAACCTTACCTGGATCAGAATGGATTTTGGATTTGCATATCCTTGAAAGGTCATCTAAAGCAGAATCGAAATGCAGACTTAACAGTTCATTTGCAAATTGAATCTCTTCCTTACAAGGGAGATGCCACCTGGGGGCCATCCATTGTTTATCATTTGCAAAATCTTTTGTACTGATCCACTCCTCCAATGTTGGGGCAGCCGAATGATGCAAAAGACACCTGATCACCCCAAAATTTTTTAACCATATGAGAAGAGGAACAAGAATCACATGAAATATTTAAAAACAACATGATGATTGTAAACCAATAAATTGACAACTTGAACCAAACATACTTGTATTGATCAATGGGATAATAAAGAACCAGACTTCCAAGGAGAGATCGGAGAACATGATCACCTGCCCCATTAACCTGCCAAAGAAGATTCTTATCGCCAGTATAATAATATCAACTGAAGACCAAGATTGGCATAGGTACAAAGACTAAAATTTTATCTCCTTCATAAAGTATTCAGTTGTAGCTATATACCCGGGGGCTTCTCATGTAAAAGGAGTTCTTTTTTTCTTACAATTTAACTTCATAGATGAAAAATCAGATCATATAAATTTCAACTATTTTCCCATCTTTAAAAAAGAATTTTAAACTGAGCATGGTGAAAACAAAACCTTCCAAGATGGAGAATCAAAGGCACAAGCAATAGCTTCTTTGAACTCGTCTTTGTAGCGAAGAAGTGCAGGGCCTGCATAACTGATTGCTATAGATAATACTTTCAACTGATATTCAATTGCCATTTCAAGAGCTGGAGAGAGTGTGGGTTTTGCCTAGAAAAGAACTAAACAATCAAGAACAGAGTACAAGCAAACCTTGAAGAAAATGACAAAGGCATTAGTAGGAATGAACCTTGCTTAGTTTAGAAGCATCAAAAGTCCCTCTTCCTCCAAACCCTGTAACAGGTGTTCCTTTCAATGACAATAAAGCAGACTCCAACATTGGTTTGACGAGATGAGTAACTGCCTCCTCTGGATTAGGATGAACAGAAGCACAACAAAGCAGTCCAACCTCAGCAATTGCCCCAGGAAGGATATTTGTGGTAACAAATTTGGAAATTTTTTTAAGGGCCTGTTGAATTAAAGTATTAGTTCACAAGAAAAGATTCACATTGACCAAAATCACAATTGTAATACACACACACACATTTCAAATTTCAGAATGGAAACCTGCTTATAAAGTGATCCTGAAAGTCTCCCCATCAATATTTCTAACATGCAGAAATAGTATGGGCCATCCTCAACCAAGAAAGTTCCTGAAGTTGCAGGAGAATGAAGACCTTCATTCCTGCAGCATCATTGAGTATATCAGTATTAACTACATGGAAACTAATTTATATTGAACTTCCAATACATATATCAATATCTCAAATAATTACAATAAGTACAGTAAATAGCAAAGTAGGAAATAATAAAAGGGAAAAGCATCTAGTTCTATACTTACACAACACTGCTAGGTTCCAAATGTTGAAGCAAAGAGAACAAGCGGCAAAAGAACTCATCAAGCCATTCAGAAAAGTGAAATGCTGGCATAAGAGACGACTCATCCACAGCATCTTCCAAAGTAGCCATCTGCAAATGCCAGACAATTGTGTGATATTCATCTGAAAGGATGTTCAGCTGGTATCTCTTAAAGTTCAATACTTACACTGGAAAATAAGGAACCAATAAGTTGCATTGTTGCCAAGGTTTTCGGTGGGTCATTGGCATCCATCCCAAGCAATGCATTTGATAAGGAAATCATCAGAAGGTCAACATATGAACCACCATGATCAACATCATCCAAATCCATGGGGGATGTAGATAAGGCTGTGAGGAACAAAGATCGTGCAGAAAATGCTACTGACATCACAGCACTCTTCAACTGGTGGGTGGCTGTCACCTATTCCAATAATTTTTATACAAATGGAAAAAAAAACAAAAAACAAAAAAAAAAAAAAACAAAAACAAAAACAAAAACAAAACAAAACAAAACGTTAAAAAGATGATCTTCCTTCTCAGCCAAACAGTGTTATTTAACCTTCAAAAATGGAATGAGAATAACTTGAATGAAATAATTGGGCTGATACATCTTAGTGCCTCCAAGAGAACTTACCGTCTCTAAGGCCATATGAAACCGAGATGCTAAAAATGGAAGAACCAAGGATGGCTCCACATATGACAGAATAGAAGTTGCAGCAGCAACTGTTTCTGAAAGATGTTCATTTTTGCTATATTGACCGCGATCAATTAGCCTCAAGATGCTATTGACAAAGGAAGCCCTGTCCACTTGCCCCAGGAAGAGTTCAGACTGTTCACCTTTATCTTTTCTCCTAAACCAAAAGTTTCAATCAAATGGTAGCGGCATGTGCAGCATCAAATTTAGAATTCTTGTCAGGGATACATGATTCTTACTGTTGCTCACGTTGCAATCGTTTCTGAAACGTAGTTACCAAGTAGAACAAAAATCTTTCAAGGGAATATGTCCAGCGGCCACCATTGGAAGGGTGGTAATACCTAAAAAAAAAAAAAAAAAGAAATGATGACATATAGAGACATATATCATTAATAAAAAGCAATTTGACAGAGAAGAGCAGGAGCAATGAAAATTCAGAAAACAAACTGTTCCAAGAGGTTGACCAATTTCTCAAAATACTGTTGTGCTGAACCTCCAGGTCTTAGTAGATAAACCTGCATTGATGTTAATAGAAACAACGAAAGGGTCATTTTGGAAACATGATAATGGAATCCACCTGGGACTTTCTGAGAAAACCTTACAATTGATTTAGCTATGGCCTTTGATGGAGTGATTGTTCTATTTGAGAACAAGAATCTAGTGTTTCTGGGAACATCCACAGAAAATGGATTAGACCCACCCCCATTTGCCACAGGAACCTGTCAATTGAACATAAATTACACAGTATGCATTATGTGATAAAAAAAAAATGTTATCCAGACCTCCTAACAATGGTGTTGGATGCTTAAACTATCTCAAGAATAGGGGAAAGAAGAAGGCCATGATATATAGCCTGCTATGCCTAATCATAGAAGTGCATGACTTCTGATCAAAGAGTGAAAATAAAAAAAAGAATATCAAATTGTAGAAGTCCACATTTTTTAGAATGTTTCAATGCCACAGAATAATTGCTTCCTGCAATTGTCAGAATTTTAAGGAAAAACTACCGCTTACATATTTAGTGTATAGCTTTTGGGATAACTAATGAGGAACAATTTCTATTACTATTCCATCTGTTACAGATGTAGGAAACAATAGAAGCATAATCACATAGTTTATTGTTTCTTAGTTGCCATGGGTAACCAAGCTGTAAAGGATCCTTCTGGGTTCTCTACTATGGTTATAATGAAAGCAAAACCAATCATTTAAACTACCCTATATGGCATACAGAAAAGCCATAAAAATAATAGAAGTAATGCCATGCTTTAGCAAAAAACATAAGCATATACTTTTCCATAAGAACATATTTGAGTACTTCTAAATAGTGACATCAGTGAGAAACATCATATCCATGTAAAACATGAGAATAATACAAACAATTTCACCTCTATTCAGATGTGGAAAATAATTTGATCAACAAAACACCTGCCACTTGGAGTTTAAATTATCTTTGCATGGCATGCACCTACCTCAAACATATTCAAGTATCTGTTGAAAAAATTTGACAAGAATGTTTCCCAATCAATATTGTTGTAGTTCTTTATGACACGAGCTGTAACAGAAGCCCATTGGCTGTTCCAAAACTGGGAATTTGGTATAGAATCCCAGTGGTCTAGGCATGATCTAATCCAATCACTGTCATGAATTCAAAATAAAATTAATTGATTGAAGCATGCAGGGCAAAGAGAAATATCATTTGAAAAACACTAGTATCTTACTCAGAGAAGAAGTCTTCATTGTCCATGTTTGTTGGTAGGAATAATCGTACAAAACCAGAACCTTCAAAAGCCGAGTTATGCCATGGATTTTCCAATAGGAATCTGCAAATTAGATTCATCAATGAAGTGAAGCAAAATCATTGCAGTATTAAGCAGTGACCTATTGCATTTGAGATATGCATATCATAATGCAGAATAGTCACTAGATAGTATTACAGGTGAATAAATTAAGAGGAAAACATGAAATAACTCCTAAAAGAAGAAGAAACAAACATCTTAGATTTATTGGGGAAAAAATATGCATAAAAAAATGAGAAACTATGTGCTAGTAAGGCAGGATAACTGCATCTTGAACAGTACTCCCCCCCCCCCCCTCCCCTTTTTTACACTTTTAATAGCCTTGAATTATACATCAGTCCATTGTATAATAGTCCACTCATATCTAATGGTTTTACAAAACCTAACACACACACACACACTTGCATAATATATGTTACACACATATGATTATACGAGCTGGGAACTTAGTCTTCTTAAATAAGTCTATCTAGAGCTGCATAATGCTATAAAGAATGTCATCACACCTCATATTTGTCTATTTTCTCCTGATGACATTTGAAAAATAGCATATTCTTAAGATATATTACAATACAGTCACTAGATTATCTACAGATAATGAAAAATAAAAATAGGGTTTGAATGTGGGCATAATGGAGTTACCTGAATTCAGACCATATCTCAAATGCAGAACCAGGAGGGAAGAACCGTCGGGAGGATCGAACAAGTGAAGTAACTGCCTCAAAATGCCGCTGTCTCAATCTCCATCCTTCTGGGCCAGTATTCCTACTTCAGATATACAAACTCAACCTCTCAACTTATATTTTAAGGATAAATTGGACCAGAAAAGTTAAGACATACTCTCAACAGATTGGATTCACTGCAAAATTAACCAAGTGCAATTGCCAAAAAGAAATCAAAATAGAATACCTAAACATTTAAATTAATCACAGTATCTGTCAAGTTTTTGCTTGAGGCTAGACTATAGTTTGTGTAATCTCCCTGCAGTTTTTGGCTTCTGTTGTTTCTTTGTTAAAGATTGCTGATTCAACCCATACAAAAACGAAAGGAAAATTTAAGGACCTAGTTTTCTGTTTTCCATTTTCCAGCTTCAATTTTCTAAAAATTTTCAAGTTTTCATTTCCACTGGAAACTATAAAACATGTTCAAATTCAACTATTTTCCAATTTTTAAACTACAAATATTTAAAATCTAATTGTTTCTTCATAAAAAAATGCATATGCCAGTGGTGGTGGTGGGAGAATGTAATGGGGGTTTGGGTAGAAAAATAGTGGTGGGTAAATTAAACAGGGATGATAATGAATATATTTGTGGTGGTGAATAGGTACATAGGCAGTCGTGGGTGCATGCAGCTAGAGGTGGAATACATAAGTGGTATCTAAGTAGGCAGATAGCAATAGGTAGAAGAAAGCAATTATCGTAGTAGAGGTAGTGGTGGTGTTGATGGTGAGAGGTAGGTAGTTGATGTTGGGGTCTTGGGGATAGCCGGATAGGTAAGTAATGGCAGATGGGTGGGTGAAGGTAGGGATAAAAGATAAGTAAAGTGGAAACTCATAAGTAACGATAATGGTGATTACAAGTAATGATAATGGTGATTACAAGTAATGATATGTATATGTTCGTATTTGGACATCATTTACACACACACAAAGAGTATTCTTCAAATTCATTTGTTAAGTTGGAAAATGGTATTTTTCATTTTTTAATTTGAAAAATAGTTGACTTTTGAACAAAACACTCTATTTTTTATTTTTATAAGAAAAAAAAAAACTGAAAAATTATCTAGTTACTAAACAAATCTCAAGGCATGTTCAGTAAACAGAAAATTTTGGAAAACAGTGAACACACAGAGAATGTGTTCATGTTTTTTTTCCTCCAAAGTGGAAAACTCTCTCTTGTTTTCTAATTTTCCAGAAAACAACTATTTTTTTTCAAAATGGAAAACACGAATGCACAATACTTTTTAAAAAATTTCACCCATGTTGTATTCTTCCTCCATGAAACCATGGAACAAGTTGGCAGAACCCAATGGTTTCAAACAGATTTGTATTTGGCACCAATATCATTGGACTTCCCAATTTCCCATTCAAATTAGTAAAATGGACTTACTTGATGTCACAATTTTAAGCCTCACTACAACTAATGTGACGGCCTAGGGCCTTTGGAAGAAAGAATTATTGTGTATACGTAACTTGCCTTGTGAAGTGGGTGTGGACCAGAGTATCGTAGAATGGGCGCCACTGGACCTTCAAATTCAACTTCTTTCTGTATTTATTTAATATCCTTACCAAGAGATTTCCCCATCTAACCTGATCAAAGCCAAATGAACTGCCATCATAAGTAAAGAGACAGGTAGATTTACAGCTGCAGAAATGCAGGGTAATTTTGGAAAGAAACAACACCTGAGCATAAAGTTTATTTTCAGATACTCGGAACAATTCCAACCCAAATTCGATAAGACCTTTCACATCTTCCATGTACAGTTCACTTCTTGCCTTTATGAAGCTGCAGATAGAAGAGACAAAATTTCAGTATGTGATATACACCCATTTCTATAAGGAGTTCCATAAAAAGTGTACCAGATACCAAACATAAATGAAACCAAATTTCCATGTATAGTTAATCATCTTCAATGCAGTCAAAAGAATTAACTTCCTCTGCTTACTCTCATAAACCTATGAAATATGTGTGTGTTATTTTGCAATTACACATTTGTTCAAATGTAACTTTAAAAACCACTATCCTTAAAAATCATTGAAATGCCTTCCACTTCCTTAACCCGGATTAAAACACAATAAGATGAAAATTCTATTTCTCCTACAAACCTACAACATAACTTTACTATAAACAGTCTTTCTATACACACTAATCAAGCAAATTTACCTACATAAAACCTCCAACCACAATACACACATTTGCAATAGCAGTTATATAATTTCTTTGTAATTTGTCTCCACACTTAAGTGCAAAAAAAAAAATACTCACTCACTTAAAAACATCAAAGCCATATAAGATGCATGAACTTGCTGCATAAGCATTTGCAACACATACACACTCATAAACAACACTAATTTCACTCACTTCAACAATTCAAAAGCCTCTCCAACTTAAAAACCAAAACAACGACAATAACTGTTGTATTAAAGTTCACGAACTGAAATTAAGTGTTTAAACAGTTTGATGACAGCCTAAGAGCAAGCAATTCCGTACCAATCAATCAAACACGGATATAATTAAACACGAAGAATTCAGGAAAAATTAGAGCTAAGCTTACAGGTCGAGAACAGATATCCATTTCAGCGTAGCATAAACCGAATCCGGATCGTCCAGTTTATAGGCTTCCTTGGCTGACTTCACCACTCCGGCGAACGCGTCCTTCTCTTTCACCGCCTGCTCCGCCACAGGCGGCGGCAACCAAGCGTTATACAGATGCATTCCTGATTTCAGCTTTCTATCTCTGCGATTCAACGAAAACCCCTGTCTGGAATGTGAATTATGCAGCAGTGGCAGCCCCTATACATAAACACTATATATATAGTGTGTGTCCCAAGTGTTGCATTTCTTTTTTGACAAGAAAAAAAGTTGAATCGGAGGTTGACGGGTAACCGGGGCGGGCGGTAGGTAATGGAGCTCTGCTTAATTAATTTTTTGGTTGACTTGTGGATTAACTTTAGCTTTTAGCGAATTGATATTTTGAGAATTGAGAGTGGTTCTCGTTGAAGATAACTCGGATACATGTGGGGCTCCGGATCCTACTTTTTCAGTCTAGCTTCTAGCTTGGTAGGATCCTATTGTATTTGGGTACACAGTTGGGTCGGAAATGAAGGTGTAAAGTCGCGTTTGGGTTACCTCGGCTCCCGGCAGTTTTTTTTTTTTTTAAAGCATGTTATTAGTCTAAGAGTATCGACATCAGTGAATAATACCAAGTTTATTCACAGATTTTGAGAAATACTTATATGGAGGAGAGAAGTGTAGGGGAGAGAAGGTTGGAGTACTTCTGCAAGGGTTGAAGATAATTCATAAATGTGAGACGCACAACAAGATTATACCAGCGGGCGCTTACTTTTATATTCCGTATTAATTTTTTTATTAAAAGTAAGTTTTGCTTTTTTCTTTCTTTTTTCTCTCCATTCCTTTATTCTCTCCATTCTTTTATTCTCTTTCCTAATCACACTTACAAAATCTCCTCAAAATATCTCCACTATTAGGACATCCTCTGGTAAGATTTTGAGGAGATTTTGCAGGTGTAATTAAGAAAGAGAAATTGGTGAAAAGGAAAAAAAGAAAAGAAAAAATAAAAAATAATATAAAAAATTGAAAAAAAAAAATCCTCAAAACCTCCCCAAAATCTCCTAAAATTTCCAAAATTCTGACAAAATCCCTTAAATAACCTAACAATCCCAACCCTCTCTCTCCTCTCTCATCTCTCCTCCAACACATCAACTTTTTCTTAAAATATATGCAAAATCCCCCTAATGGTGATGCTCTAATAAGAGCATCCTTATCAGTTGGGGATATCAGGGGGAGAATGTAATAGTGAGTATGAAAGAGAAAAATGTGGGAGAGAGGAACAAAAAATTAAAATTGATTTTAAAAAAATATATAAAAAATAAGCATGTCAGAGTAATTCATTTTCTCTATTGGTTCTCTCTCTTCCATCATTAATTCCTTTTTCTTGGGCAGAGTAATATCCCAACCTTTGCAGATGCTCCCCACTCCTTCTCTCTCTGCCACCATGGCGTTTTGACTTCAAAAGTAGTGAACTCTCCCACATTTCTTCTTTGATGTAGATGATCTAAATGAAGAATACAAAGTCAATGGATAGCATCTCAAGAGTTAGAGCCCCTAGCAAGAACATGGGTAAGTGGTTTGCTGAAAGTGAATTAAAGCTACATATATAACTTTGAAAGGAATTTAGTAAATTATGACTAGGGGCGGAGCAACTATGGTGGCGGTGGAGACAGTTGCCCTCTTCCCCTAACCCACCACTTTATATATATATATATATATATATATATATATATATATATATATATATATATATATAGCATTAAATGTTATATAAAATATATATTTATGTTAAAATTGTCAATTGTTTGAGTAGTTTTGTTCGTTGAACTCCAAACTTATGATTTTTTAGTTTACTTTTTATGAATTATTTAATTGATAAATTAAATACTCTTTTAGTCTATTTTTTATGAATTATTTAATTAATGTAGCATACAAATTTATATTATACTTTATTGTATTATTCGAATTAATTTAGAAAAATCGATCTAATTAAAATAAATTATAATTAAAAAATATTTATAAATTATTCAAATTATTTTATCTAATTGATTATGTTTCATATTTTTTCATAAATATTTTCACATTTTGACCCCACTCAAATATATTTTTTGTTCCGACCCTAACTATTATGTAATCTATCAAAAACTAATAACATTATATTGTAATTTATAATGTATTTTGTATTTTAACCTCATTATGGTTGTTTGATGTTTTGTCATTGACATTTTTAACGTCATTTAATTTTCACCTCACTCAGATGATTTTCTGAATCCGTCCCTAATTATGACAATGGTTGGTGTAGGACAAATCACGTTTATTTTTCAGGATAGCTTCGATAACGTTTTGGCAATCTGATTACAGGCACACCTTGCTAATGTTATTATCTTTAAGCCAAGATAGTGTGTCCTCTGGCATGTCATGGCTTTCACCTGCTTGGGATCTTAGTTCACTACTGGTCCATTGATAGCAGCGTATATTTACCATCTTTATCATAAGAGCAACTCCAAATCCCACCGTATCAAAGGCGATGGGTTTCTTTCCTTCCCAAATAAGAGCATTCTGTGCCTGCCAAACGTGATACATAAGGAAAATAGCCTTGCACACGAGCTCTTCGTCTTTCTTCACCCTGCTCTATAGCCAACCTCCAAACTTTATCTTAGGTTGGAGCAACATTTGCACAACCTACTAGCACATGGAAAGTGGTTTATACTTCGATAGGACATGTCGGACATTGGTCGTCAAGCTCCAAACCACAACGTCCAATGTTATCCCTTGTAAGAAGAATCTCTCGGATGTCACGCAAATCGAACACTAGCAACTTGGAAGGTAGGTCTAGTTTACACAACTTATTCCAGAGAGTGAAACCAACGGTTGGAGGCTCAGGTTGAGTCTCTCCACAAAGTGAATTGTACACACCGAAGTGTAATCATGTCCATGTTTCTACCCTATATATAGACATAGTTTGATTTAAAAATACTTTGGTGTAACCCAGAATGTGTCTTAATTCATTTGTTTATATCATTAGGTGCATAAATGGTTGGATTGAAGACAATTGTATGTTTTTCGGGGCATTTTGAATGAATCTCGAGTCAATTGGGAGCCAAGGTGAAGCTAAGGAGGTGGCTAAAATACTTCCAAGAAAGTCACGAGTGGTACTTTCAATGGATTTGATCATAAGGACAAAACAAAGCAAAAGTTGAACAAAAGATCATAGAGTTGTAATTCTCGCTCAATATGTCAACATGTTATTATTTCGTTCTGTAATTATTGAACACGTCCAAAAGCTCAACATCTTCCATTTTATTTTACTTATTTGTTTATTGACTCTTTGTGCTTCAGTAGGGTCCCCTCTCACCAACCACGGGGAATTAAACTGATTGTCATGTCTTCTAGGGTTAGCTCGAAGGTGAGGTCCATAGAGGTATTGATCAAGTTGTAGGGGGAAGTCAAGCGTCATTGTGCAAAACTTTCAATGAGGTATACTTCCAATTTTGGTCAAGTCAAAGTGGATTCAGTTTCTGCTAAGTGAGATGTTTAATTTGATATATTATACGCATAAAATTGATAATGGCCTGGGTGAACAAGAAATTAATTTTCAAAATGTACCCACTTGAGTTGGGAAGAGTTCGAATGAGTCTTAATCCCACATTGAAAATGGATGTGCGTTTATACAAGTATATATACAATTCCATTTTTGGGGTGTAGTAAATGACAATTTATCATTTTTGATATTTTAACTAAGTCAAAAAGCAAAAAATCGTATTTGGTAACTTACTAGTTTGCTCTAAACCATTGAAAATGTAAACACTACTAAGTTTATTCTTTCACCAAAACGGGTGAAACCAGCTTGGTTGGCGAGGTGGAACCAGGTGAAAAAAAAAAAAAAAAAGGTGACAGCAATAGATATTTGGGTTTTTGCATTATCTTTTTAAAGCTTTCTTCCACTAGACGACTGACATCCCATGATTGAGGAAGGTGTAGTAGGAGGAGCAGGAGCAGCATGCCAATTGCCAACCACAAAGTTGGAAACCCATCCTTAAACACTACAAACTTGTCTACTTTCTTCCCTACCACTCCTACAATACTACAACAATACACCATTTGCTGCTGCTATGCTAATCTTTAATCTTTCTTTCATTCAATAAATACTCCTTTTCCCTTGTTCACGTTTTTCTCCACCGACCCAACTCTCTGTAGATCGGTGGATTTGCGGTCATCGGAACAGATGTCTTCCGGCAGGTTTATGGCGTACTCGCCGTCCCCTTCCTCTCCCCACATCGCCGGCTTTCGTTCCGCTTCCTCCGCCCTCGTCGACCAGGAAAAGTAAACCCCATTCCTCTCTTGCTTCCACACCTTGATCACCCAATTCGGATCTTTCTGATTTTCTGGGTCCGATTGTCTTTTGCTGGCTTGCGAGCTTTTTGATCTGAATTCAATTTTTTTTTTTAAACTACTTTTTCTATTGCTCTGTTTCAGTTGACTTTGATGTGGTAATATGTGATCAGTTACACTTGAGTTCAATCATTTGATGCTTTTTCTATGGATGTTTGTATAAGAAAAGAATTGCCCCCTTTTTCTCATTTGATCTTAGTGGCTTAGTGCTGTCAGCTTTATTGTGTTTTACCAGGAATCAATGTTTCTTTTTCGTGTGTGAACTAGTACTTAGCTGCTGCTTAAGTTAACAATTTCTAAGCTTGATGATGATAATGTGTAACATTCTGTTGTGCTTATTGGCTTCACCTTAGATATTGCATCGAAAGTGTATTTGCTACTTCCAGCAGAGCTCAAAGCGATTATTAATTTGAATCTATGTACTCTTTCATCATTCCAAAATCAATCTCCCATTGGCTACAGAGAAGTATGTAATAATGTAAATGCCCCTTGAACATAGAGTCCATTCTATTTTTTCTCCAAAGGTAAAAAGTGGTCATGAATGGTCCCTCGGTTATTAAATTGGACAGCAATGGACATTTATTAGAGGTTTGTTAATGGAACCATTTCCATACAATTTTTAATAGATGTGGACCATTCTGTCCAATTTCCAGTAGTTGAGACGGACCACTTCTTTACAATTTATGGTACAGTGGTAGTTCCCAACTATTGGAAATCTGACAAATGATCATTTCATCAGGTTCTCTAGTGGAATGGTTGAAAGGATGAATTTTTTGTTCAATTCTCAACAGTTGAGGGGCATTTCTTATACACGTTTTAAATCATGGGAAAAGTAGGAATTGCTACTATATTTAAGGAACCAAAGGTCAAATTAACGTTACCGTATAAAATTAGACTTCATTCCAAAATCAGTCTCCTGAGATGTCAAAATAAAGGAGTTCATTCCAAATATCTGGGAGCCATCTGTCTGGGGATGTAAAAATGTGGTTGAAGTAATAGAAACACTCTTGTTACTCAGAGCAAGGTCTGTTTATATTTTCTGGTCACTAATTTATCTCAATGCATGTTGAAAGGTATCTTGCGGAGTTGCTAGCAGAGCGCAACAAGCTTAGTCCATTTGTGCCCGTGCTTCCTCATTGCTATCGGTTGCTGAACCAGGGTGAGTTTTAACCTCTGCATGCAATAACTACTGTCTGTTTGAAATTGAATACCACAAGAAACCTTTCTCTTCTGACCATGAAAATTTAGGCTTATTAGTTGTGACGTGAGGAGTTATAGAAGTGAAAATATGGAAGAAAGATTGAAACTTTTTCTTTAGCAAATTCCTAGCCAGCATTCTACCATGCTCATGTATTCCTTATAATTCATCAGGTCCCATAAGTGGAAGTTTTTAGCCAGAGCTGCCACTGCCTTGGCAGATTAGTGTCGACTTGGTTATATAGGATGCCTTCTGTTGGGTCAATATAAGATTTATAAGTGTGGTCAATATAGGATTTGCCATTTACTTTATGAACCTTTGGTGTCTTGGCCTTCACCCAGTCAATATTGGTGGCTGCTAACTAATTGTTAACTAATGCTAACTGGTACATCTTATTCTTGAAAATTGACATTTTGAAGCAGAAATATTGCGTGTAACTACAATCTTGGAGAATGCATTGATTTTAGATCAAAGTGGGCTTGAACATGCTAGCCCCATGGCTTCAGGAGGATTATTTTCAAATGGAGGAGCTAACATGGACAGATGGGCATCACGATTTCAATCTGAAGTATGGATACTAACCATTAACATAACCTCTTTAATCTAATTTTATTTTCAAAAGATTCTGACACAGTTTTTCTACTCTGAATGCTGACTTGATTACTTCTTTTAGGTGCTTTTAACTTAAAACTTCACTTCTGTCATGACAGGTAGTTTGAAGCTAACAACGTCAAGACTGATTTATAGATTTAGCTGAGCACGTTGATTCAGTACTATGCTTGTTTTTACTAGTCTTATCATTGAAATAACCTGACCTCCTCCTTCTCATGTCCTAATTTTGTATCAAAATGATTGTGGTATAAGGCATAATAGGGTGGTCTCTCGTTCTCTGTCTAAACTCTGAATTATTAGTGCAGTGTTGATATTTTTCCTAAAAGAATATAGCCATTTTACTCTGGGGTCCCTATTAGAGTTCTGCGCTTCAGTTCATGCTAACCATGTAATTTGGGCATGACTTAGTAGTGCAATACAGATATAGAAATGTGCAGAATATCAAATTTGCAAGTTTTTTCATGGTACAGTTGAGTACTTTCAAGGTCGTGTGGATGATAACAGGGTTATTCAATAATTTTTTTGAGATGCATATATCTAAATTATATTACGTGTAACCAGAAGTTGGCTTGTTATATACTGAATATTCCCCTGTATTAAGGAGTGGCTATAGGGAATGAATCGTCTGCAATGCAGTTTTCTGTGCAAAGGAGAGTATATGTATATGCCCGCCATGACAATGTTAGCATTTATGATTTGCAGAAGATGTCAGGTCTAGTGCAGACCACCAGTTCTCAAAACTGGCTCGGTGGTCAAAGTAGCTCATCTGGTCATATTGTTAAGCGATCAATCAGAATTGATATTCCTCTGGAGCAATATCCCAGTGTATGTGGTCTTCATCCAGCCTGTCCTCTCGTGATTCATGTATACCAAAATTTACCAAAATACTAATTAAATCACTGGTGCAGTACAATTTTGTTGGTCGCCTCCTTGGACCTAGAGGGAACTCTCTTAAGCGAGTGGAAGCAAGTACAGACTGCCGTGTTCTGATTAGAGGATGTGGAAGCATCAAGGACCCCGCAAAGGTACCATTTCGTACTCCCAGGACCCTGTCCAAGAATTGTTGGAGGAGGTAAATCGCGAGTCGCCCAAGCAGCCTCCGAGTCAATCCCTGTCGTAGACTCTGCACAAGTTGGCGGAAGTGTGGAGATGGATCCCTTGTGCGTAGAGTTAACGACATGGACTGACTGCGAGACTATTTGTGCAACTCGCAATTTTCCTCCAGAACCCCACCCTGCCGCTAGAGTGGTGACTTTAGGTCAGGTGGTCTACCACTTGAGCTAGCCCCGCGGGGCACTTGCCAGTATATTTATATCAAAGGATCAACTCCTCCCACCCAAAAAAAAACCATAAAATAAATTACATCTTGTTCTCTTGAATTTTAAACGATCTTTGATGCTACAAAGCAGCAAAACAAGTACTTTTTCTTGTATTTGATCTAAACTTTTTCATGGATATAAAAGCAATAATAAAGTTTATAATTTACTGTTATTCAAAGGAAGAATTGATGAGAGGTAAACCTGGGTTTGAGCACTTGAATGAGCCCCTTCATGTAATCGTGGAGGCAGAACTCCCACTGGAGATAATCGATGCTCGGTTAGCACAAGCACGTGAGATACTTGAAGATCTCCTCAAGCCCGTGGTAATAATTATTTCCTATCTCTTTGGTAAAGTAAAGAAGATGAAGAGATAACATTATGCTTTCTTATTCTTACTTCCCTTTGTGTCTTCCACATGTTGTTCAAAAAAAGCAGGACGAATCTCAGGACTTTTACAAAAAGCAGCAGCTTCGCGAACTTGCAATGCTCAATGGTACACTTCGTGAGGAAGGCTCCCAAATGTCTGGTTCCGTGTCCCCCTTTAACAGCCTCGGGATGAAGAGGGCCAAAACCACGGGGTGATAATCTTTCAGTTACCTGGCTTTGAAGCTCACATGCATGTTGATCATCTAGGCGCTACTATGCAATAGTATCAACAACGCAACACTAGTTGCAGACTATGCCTTCAACTCTCGTCGGGGCACTGGCACCATCATTTACCAGTTCTATGATGTGTATATGTGAATATGATGCAGTTTGTGTTAGTATTGCGTGGAGATAGTTGTTGGCGTTAAGGAGCAGAGTACAAACTACGGGTATGGTTTTGCTCAAAACACACATTTCTCCCTCCCAGACTAGATTGTTTTGTTTCATCAACACATTTCTAGTGTGTTATTTCATTGTTAATGTTAAGGTTGTGATGGAGTTTTGATGATGGATAACTTCTGCCTGTAGTGTATGCATTGCATTCAGAGAGGTGAAATGCAATGGTTTGTATCAACAACAGAGTATCATTTGTCTCATTTTATAAAATCATTCTTTATTTACAAAGGCTCTGGTTGGTAACATAGTTAGCTCATTAGTCAATTTTGGCTTGTTTGACTTTATTAAACAACCAAAATGAGTGTTTGATTAATTAGCTTTTTGTAACAGTTTATTACTTCAAAAAGTTAAAATTCAAAAAACTATTTAAAATAACTTTTTCAATAAGCTTTTTGTGAAATCATTTTGCTGTAATCAGCTAATTTATCAACATATTTCTACAATCAACTAATGTTATTAACTGTTATTATTATCATTAACTATTATCTTGGTGTTTGTGTAGTGATAAGAATGGAGATGCAAAGTGGATAGGTTTTACATACAATTAAAAAAATATTTAAAATAAAATTACGAAAGTATCTTTTTTTATATAAAAAAAAAGTTTAAAATAAAAATTAAAAACTTGTGGATTTACATGAGGAATTTCACTTTTGCACTAGATAATTAGATAAATATACAGATAATAGGAATTTGTTTGTCCAGAGACTTTAAGATTGAGATGATTGAAATTTTGATTTTTCAAGTCCTTCAATAAATTCATGCCGGAGCAGAAATGCACAATTCATTACAGAAAACAAGATGGGAATTAAAAACAATGAAAAATTACACACTCAATTAAAATTCCTGACATTATAAAACAAAATAATAGTACAAAAATATTAAAGAGTTAATTCCATTTTTATCCTAAATTTGTGAGTAGCAGTCAAATTTTTTTTATTTTTTTTTTATTTTAAGAACATCCTCTTTAGTCTTATTATTATTATGGCATGACTATTTTTAATAAATAGAGAAAAGAGTCAAATAAACCCTCAAACATTACCCAAAAGTGCAATTAAGCCCTCCAACTTTAAAAATATTTAATTATACACTCAAACTTATCATTATGACCGGTTATTCACCGGAAACAACCGGTCATTAATTTTCCGTCCAACTTTTCGGCGACCGTCAATGCTACCCGCGTTCTGCTCGTCTTCTCCGGGACTGGAGTGATCATCTTTTCCATTCCAGTCGTCCAGACGACTGTTGGAGAAGGTGAACAGACTGTTCGTCTTCTCCATTGGAGAAGACAACCGGTATGGAGAAGACGACTAGTACGGTCATCTTCTCCGTTGGAGAAGACGAACAGACTGTTCTTCTTCTCCATTGGAGAAGACAACCAGTACAGTCGCTACGGTCATCTTCTCCGTTGGAGAAGACGACCGTACTGGTCGTCTTCTCAGTAGACGACCGTACTAGTCGTCTTCTCGGTTGGAGAATAGAAGACGAACAGTCTGTTCGTAGGCGAGAAGTCGACCAGTACGGCGGTCATCTTCTCCATTGGAGAAGACGAGCATACTGTTCGTCTTCTCCAATGGGAGAAGATGTTCGACGAACAATACAGTCGTCTTCTCTAATGGAGGTCGTCTTCTCCATTGGAGAAGGACGACCGGCGGTGATTTTTTCTGGCGAAAGTGGCAGCAACGGAGAAAAACGACCAGCGGTGGCTTTTCCGACGAAAATGGCAGTTTTTTGGGCGGTGAATACCGGTAACCAATAAGTTACCGGTAAATATGGTTTATTTGCTCTATTTTAATAAGTTTGAGTGTTTAATTGAATGCTTTTAAAGTTAGAGAGTTTAATTACATTTGTGGGTAATGTTTGAGTGCTTATTTGATCATTTTCCCCAATAAATATTGTGTTTTTGATTGATACATTAGATTTCTCAACTTACGCCAGACTAATCAACTCTTAAAATTTCTGCCAAAAGAATTACGGGAGGAGCTAAATCTTGAATCACCTCGTCAGTCCTTAGGTTCCCACCCCTTGTCGAAACACTCTACACACAAAAAGATTTTTATCACATTTGATCAATCGATCATTAGAATAAGATTTTAGGATAATTGATTGAATCAATTGAGCTAATTTCGCGGAACTATGTTATTTATTTAATATTTGTAAGAGGGGTATAAATCAAATTATTTCACAAGATCCCAACAATTTCAAAACCGACCATGGGAGGGTGTTCCTCATCCCCACGTCATCCTGGTTTCTACGCGATCAGTATCAGAGTGGGGACTGGGGAATTGGATACTCCGGCATATTCAATGACAATAGTCATCCTATACTATCAAGTATATAATTTAGGATCACACTTATGAAATCGTTTCAACTCTCAACTCTCAATCATCTTTATTTGTAAGACGGATCGAGTGTATATGAAAATGTATACTAATTAGAAATAAAGTGTTTGTTACTTATAAAAGGAAAGTGTAATATTTTTAAATTAAAATATAAAATTATTATATTTTTCTTCAAAAAGTATTACATTTTCTTATAGAGTTAATTCCAGCAATGGTCCTCCGACTATATTGATTTTCCAAAATTAGTCCTTGACTTTTAATTTGGACACTTTAGGTCCTTTGACTTTCAATTTCTTTCCAATTGAGGTCCTTTCATCAGAATACGGTTAATTGAATTTTAAATGTAGGGGTAAACTCATCATTTCACCTGCCTATGTATTATTCTTAGTATTTCTCCATTTTATACGCGATATATATGAAGATAATCTTAGTCGAAACCCTAAAATATTTCTCGTCGTTCCCCATTTGCTGACTACTCGTGTGTGCATTCCTCTATTATTGAGATGTTTACAAGGTATAACAGCGAAATACGAAGGGAGAAATACGAAGAATAATACATAGACATGTGAAAGGACGAGTTTACCCCTTCATTTAAAGTCTAATGAACCGTATTCTAACGAAAGGACCTCAATTGGAAAGAAAATGAAAGTCAAGGGACCTAAAGTGTCCAAATTAAAAGTCGGGAACTAATTTTGGAAAATCACTATAGTCGGAGGACCATTGCTGGAATTAACTCTTTTCTTATATAAGTACAAACATTTTATTCCTTATTATTATTACAGTTTTCAGTATAAACCAAATACGTAGCACTTAATTCAAGTATAAGCGAATGATGACTTTGTGGTCTAGTGGTAGTTTCTATTCATAACTATTTTTTCTCAATCTACTGAAGCACAAAGAGCTAATAATCCGTCTCCGCTGAAACTTAAACTCATAATATTTCACATAGGGGAGCACCTTGGTACCAGTGGATCGGAGTATCAGACCACAAGATCCTTGGTATATATATATAATCATCTTTAACCTAGCCCCTATCTAATTTGTATCACGGGTATTACATTAATGATTGTATGTGTGGCTAAGCTACCTGATAAGGACGTCCAAAACGTACAAAAGCAAGTGGCCTGGATACCCTACCCAACCAAATTGAATTCAAATGCTACGGTCAATCCAATTGCCAAATATAGTCTACTAGTCAGTCTGTGTCCACTCGATCATCACTACCTATTATATTCATCACATCAGATCAGATCTGGAGAAATTATTAAACAATAATGGTTTGGATTAAACATTCTTCTTCATCTTCTTCTTCTTCTGTTGTTACCACCTTCTCCATACTTGTATCGTTGTCTCTCCATTTTCTTACTACTTTCTCTTCCTCCTCATCAGGTATGTATGTATGTATGTATATATGTATATATGTGTTAGTTTCACAAAAACTAATTACTATTTCTTTGAATTATTCCATCGATCTTAGCTCATCTTCGATTCGCTCACTGTTATTTTGCTAATAATTGTATATCTATATATGCAGATGAGGGTAGTGTGTTTGTTTCTCAGTATTCCACTGGGACTGGGATTGGGAGGAACCTCCTTCAGGCCAAGATACGTATGCTTCAATTCATTCTTAATTTCTTCATCCTTACCTCATTTATTAAGGATAGCTAGTATAGATACAATATTATCTTCAATTCTCTGGAAATGTTTCACCTAATTTGGCTGCCACTTACTAACAATACATATTTTCATAATTTAATTTCTTCAATTCCATACAAATTACTATTCAATTCCTTCTCTCCATGCACTAAAAGCTAAGCTAGCTAGGGGATATATAATTAATGATATAAAATGGAAATTAAGTATATTTGGTTTAGATAGATATATAGTTGGTTTCGATCATGATATGATCAGTGGAAAAGTTTGTGTTGAAATTCTTAAAGTTAATTAAGGTAAGAGAATTATATATATATATTTGAGAAATGGGGAAGGAAGCAAAGGAAGGTGATTTCATTTGGATTGATGTGAGTAGAATCTCTAGTGCAGCTACTACCATAATTTTATCCGATCCATTATTAGAAGAGAATCTAAGTTTTTGATACCATAATAGTTTATTTCGACATTTTTGTGCAATGCAAATACTTAAAAAGTTGCATATATATATTTCTTCAGGTTCAATTGTATAGTTATCAAACTTTTTTGGGGGAATCAGAGCAAGTGAATTTCTAGATTTTTTCTTACATCAACGTTACATTAGATTTTAGCAATACTTTAGGCGAGAGACGAAAATGGCCATTACTCAAGGACTAAAGACCTTTTCGTATACAAATAATATTGTAATGGCAGCAGATTAGAGGCAATTGAAACACTAATTAATCTTAAGAATATTTGAGTTAGAAAAAGTTTAGATCCTGTGCTAATTACACCTCCGAACTTTACCTGAGAAGTTAATTAAGCTCTCGAACTTTTGAAAGTTGCAATTAAGGGTTGGTCGCGTTCTCCGACGACTAGAGATGGCGACCAAACTGGTCGCCATCTCCAATCGGGTTGGTCGTCTTCTCTGTCGTTGGAGTAGTCGACCAGGTTTGGCCGCCATCTCCAAGGTACGGAGTAGGTGACCAACCCTTCTCTGGCGCGTGCTGGTCGGAGTCGTCAGTTTTCGCCACCAGAACATGGCCGGGCAACCTAGTGACCTGTTATTACATGTTACTTACATGTATTTAGGTCTTGATGTACTAAAATGACATGTTTATGTACCTAATTGTACTTTCAAAAGTTTAGGGGCTTAATTGACCTCTCAAGTAAAAATGTATTTGACCCTTTTCCATATAATTAATGCCTTTAATCTCTACCCAAAAAAAAAAAAAAATGCCTTTAATTATGGTGTTTTGTTGGGTGCATGCAGCTTGTAACAAGAACTTTGAGTCTGAGAACTATACCATCCTCACCAGCCAATGCAAAGCTCCATACCAACAAATACAGCCATGTTGCGACGCCTTTACACAGTTTGCCTGTCCTTTTGCCCAATTTTTGAATGATAGATCTACCAACTGTTCCGATGTGATGTTCACCTACATCGACCAAAAAGGAGGTTTCCCAAATGGCCTTTTCACCGGTTGCAAAGGAGATCAAACTGGCCTAATTTGCCCTACACCACCACCTGATTTAACTGCCGGAGTCACAGTGGGATTGGGGGCACCCCCACCCATTATTCAATTCCTGTTTTATACTACAACCCTCGCTGTAACTTTTTTATTTTTAATCTCTTAAATCATTATTATTATGTCATGTGTAATTCATGAATATATATTCACAAGTCTAATTAAATCCCTTTAAATTATCATAAATGTATGTATGAATTAAGACTTGATCGATATAAGATTGAATAAGTTTTTTGTTTGATTTATTCCTAGTTCAAATTGATTTATCATGTATCAAGTAATTAATAAACACATAAACACTATAACTTTCACGAATTGAGTAATTAAGTATTTTTGTATACGCGTGTATAACTTTATTGCTGCAATATGAACATGGTATTCGAAAGGTTCCAATGCTTCAAAATGTTTTCATGTTTGAAAATGGAAAATTATGTTTTCCTTGCATGGATCAGAAATGATATTTTGTTTTCTGCTGAAAGGTTGAATACTCGAAAGGTCATTTTTATGGTCTCTTGTGTGTTTTCGAAAGGTTAATTTGTTCTTTCAGACTTTACCTTTCGACTTTATCTCTGAAAGTGTGATTTGCATCTAGAAGATGTCAAATTCCTTATTTTTGCTATGAACATGTGATATTATGAATGTATATGAGAACATATGATATATGTTTTGTAGATTATGCATTCCATTGCCAAATGTGAATTTATTAAGCTCACTTATGAATGAAGCAATTATTTAGCTTGGGCTCTTGATATTGAAATATATTTGGCATCTAAAGAATTGAGCCAAGTTTTTGTTGCTAAGTCACAGAGCACCGATGCCTAGAAGGCACAAGCTCTCATTTTCATACGTCACCACTTGAACCACGACCTTAAAAAAATGAGTATCTGATTGAAAAGGAACCCCTTGAATTAATGGAAGTCCTTGAAGGACTATTCCGACCAGAAATCATCAAATGTTCTTCCTCAGACACATTTTGACTAGTTTAACCTCATAATTAATTTTGACATTATAATGTAAGTCAGTGATTAACTATATATAATTCAGCTATGCACAAAATAGTCTCGAAAGTGAAACTCTAAACAAGAAGTTTTAAAGGAATATTTAATTGAAAAGACATTGCCAACTTTTCATCAAAGTAATTTTGGACTCCAGCATCAGTATATGATAGCAAATTATGAGAAACATTATAAGCAGATTTTTAGCACCCCTTGTGGCTAAGAAACGCAACCATTTGTTGATGAAGAATCATAATGCAAGTATGGTTGTCTCGCACTGGTGTCTGAAGCAGATAATGTTGCCCAGTTGAGTAACTTTATAAGGGGTTGCGGTCGAGTTATGACTAGTGTGGTATGAGTTTCGAGCTCAAAATAATAAGAAGCAAAATGATCAATATAATTAAGGACGACGAAATTCATTTAAGCAAAATTCTAGCTAGAAGCAGGTTTGCTATTAATATGGGTGTGAAGGGCATTTGTCCATTCGTGCCGCACACCAAAGCATTTGATCATCGAAGAATGAATCTCATCTTGATGATTCTAGGTTGCCTGAAGCAAATATTGTGATAAATGATGATAATGAAATTATGAGGTACTATTGTTCTTGAGAAATGGCCCGGTTTGGCCCGGTATTGATGAAGAAATGATTGATGTCATGATAATGTTTTGAGTAATGCATGAAAATCTATTCATGGCTGAAAAAGTTAGCTCATGCCTGAAGCATGAAGCATCCGAGAAGTTAGCTCATGCTTGAAGCATCAGATAAGTTAGTTTATGCCTGAAGCACCCGAAAAGTTAATTCATGACTGCAATATTTATTGCATGGTCGAGAAGTATATATATTCCAAAAGTTATTTTTGGATGCAAATGATTATGAGTGCAAAGTGATTTTACTACTCGAATTGACTATTCTGAAAGTTTACTTCTCTAAGCTTATCCATCTAAGCTTTAACATGGAGTGGTAAGCCTAGAAATTTTTACTTTTCGAATGATGTTTACTTCCTAGACTTTATTTTTCGGAGGAAGTTTACTTCTCGGAGTTACTTCTCTTAGTTTGCATGCTTATTTATGGAAATTTTTCTCATGCATGCAACATGACTCTCGTATGCGATTGACTGGTTGCTAATTCAAAATTGAATTATTATTTGTTACATAATCCTATACCAATCCCGAAAGGATTGCTATTATCAAGAAATTATGATAATCATCTTTTGACTAAATTTGAAATGTCAAAATGTCAAATCTCTCTCCGAATATGGCTTAGTGCAATTCTGTGTTATTTAAGGGGTGGTATACTATACCCCTTTATAAGAATGATCTTTGACATATGCCATACATGATATGATTGATTTATATGTTATTAATTTGAAAGATAGAAGAAAATGATATCATATCAGTTTGCCCGGAGCAAACGAGAGAATGAATTATTTCATATCAGTTTGTCCGAAGCAAATGAGGGAGTGAATTATATCATGTGAATTTGCACAAAGCAATTCCCAAACCAGTGAGTGAACTAATGTAAAGTTCAGGATAAGGATTTTTGGGAGATCTTGAAGATCTATTTTATTTGACAAGCTTCTAACTTCCTTATGATTGTTGTGTACCCTTATAATATCATTTGATATGTACGCTTTCATATCTGGTTATATATGTTACTCTTAGATGATTACATATATGTTTTGGGTACTTCATATGTTGCGATACATTTTTAAAGGCTTTAAAGACCCATATTATTTTATAGTATGACATGAGCTATAGTGCATCGCCTTGGGAAAATATATATTTTCTTGTTGGGGACATCAGTTTTATATGCTATTGTGGTTATCGCAATCTAACCTACTGCATATCATAATTATCCCCCCTAGAACCTAGTACGTGGTATAAAACAAACATTTCCCATCTGCGTTTTATTCACAGTGTGCAGTCTTTTTCCTATATCACCACCATAGCGTACCTTTGTGGGCATGTATATGTTGATTATAAACCTCCGTCTGTTATTTAAATCCTTAGAGCCCATGATAAGGGATCAATATATAAATTAGGTACGCTGACTGCACACTTTATGAAGATCATTTCACGGCATTAGGGGGAGATAAGAGCTCAAATTTTATAGAATGCCAGGAAATTCTATGAATGATTGATCTTCAATATTTGAATCCACGTACTAGGTAGACTGAACTAGAAGTTCAGAAGAAGTAAACTGAACTGGAAGTTCAGAAGATAATTAATCTGCCAATATATATATTGATCATAAAAGAGTGACTAGGTCCTATATGTCTTTCCCAACTTGGACCATATGTATCTACCAATGCTCCTTGACGCCAGAAGCGTGGGGACATGTTGGTATAATCCGCAGAAAGCTAAATCTAGTAGAAAATGGTGTCACTCTTGAAATCGCTTAAAGAAGTATGTCGTGAAGACATTCGTCCAGAAGACGAAAAATCCCAGTAAATTTATAGGTGCACCCAGAATCATAATACTGGGGATGCGGAACGACCAGATAAAAATATCTTTGGGAAATGGCTAGAGTCTGGTTGAATTAGAAATCACCATTATTTTATGGGAGAAATTTATGAAAAATGTTATAGTTGTCGACAAGAGAATTGCCTTTACAAATTGCTCTCGTTATATGAGAATCTGGATCCAGAGCTAGGCACCAGTAGTGCCCTGATTTTTTTTTTTTTTAATGTATAAAAGAGCAATTAAGGCATGTACAGCTCAGCTCGCTAAAACTATATTCTCTTTATAACACGTACACCATTTAATGTTAAACCTGTAGGTTACAAATGGGTGTTTGTACAAAAGAGAAATACAAACAATATGGCGGTATGATATAAAGCGAGACTGGTAGCTTAAGGGTTTACGCAGAGACCCTGAATTGATTTCGATAAAATATTCTCTCCCACAACATATGGCATTACGTTCCGCAAATTAACTTTATTGGCAGTGAATTATGAATTTAGATATGCAGTTGATGAACGTCATGACCGTAATTTACTGGTCATTAGATGCTAATATTTATTTGTAAATCCCCGATGGATTCAACACTTTTGGAATGTGGAAAGTGAAAATCGCAACGTGTATCATTAAACTACTAAAGTCTTTGTATGACTTGAATATTATTGACTGAGTGTTTTCCTCCCGAAGAAGGAATGTATAAATAATATGTACCATTATGTGTTCGTTAAAGAATTGCTAATGGAGTTATTTATTTATCATCTCAGTCGATATTGACGGTTTAAATATCATTGAACACATAGAGAGCTTGGTGATATCAGCTCATGCCGAAATATGGAGTTTTAAAATAAAAGACTTGGAAATCCAAGTATTGTCTCGACCTGAAGATCGACCTTCTCCTTGAAGAAGTTTTATACACTAGTTAGCCTACTTGAAAAATGTCATGAAGATGTTTTATATGGATAAGTATTATTTACTTATCACACAAACGGTTGTCCAATAATCTCTTGAAGTAGATAAAGGACCATTTAGACTCGAAGATGATAATGAGGATATTTAGGGACTGGAAGTCCATTACTTCATTCCTATTGGAGCACTATTATTGAACTAGAAGTTCCATAATCGCATCAGGCCTGATATTGAATTTGCAATGAAATTGCTAGCAACATTTAGTGTTTCCCCCTACAATGAAAATTGGAATGGTATTTAACTTATCCTCCAGCACCTTCGAGGTACAAAGATTTTGACATTTATGTGAGAAACTCATATGTGGTTTTGATGGGCTACTTAGGCATTAGCTCTTTTATTTGATCCCTATGATGCCAAGTCCAAAACTGGTTATGTTATATTTTTACCCCCAATGTCCCATATGAGGACAAATAAGATTGTGTTGCACCAGCAAGTAATAGGTTTGTTAAGGGGAACCTTACAAAACCTGTTGCACCTAAGTCCTTCTACACACATGAACTCTAGAAGAGTTGTAAAATTCTTGTTGAGAAAGTTTGCCTCACTGAACAATCTTCCAGATATGTTCACTAAGTCTCTGCCTACATCCACATTTGAGTAATATGTTTACAAAATTGGGATGCGTAGGCTTAGGGGGGGGGGGGGGGCGGGGGGGGGGGGGGCGACAACCCCTAGCTGTGCTAGAATGGACAATCTAGAGGACTTTTGAAATCCTGAAGATTATGCTATGAAAGCATATGGTTGTACTCTTTTTCCCTTAGCTAAGTT